CAAAATTTCAATTATCAGATTTTGCCAAGAAAATCTAAATTTAACAACAAAAAAATTAAAGTCATTGCAATTATAATTAAACGAATAAATCAATAAAATCTTTGAAGATAATGATAAATGTCTTCATTAAGAAAGTTATAACCGTGATAAATCCACAATATTGCACTTTAACGACTTTTAATATTGATGTTCCTGTTTTTAGAATTTGCAGGAAACAATTGCTTATTTGTTATGTAAATTTGAAATCAGAATGCAAATTAAAATTCTTATACAGCGGCTGTGTGATCAATCAAAAACAAATCATTAATATAATAATAATATTATGTAAATTTTGTCGGCGGCTGTGAGGTAAGATTAATGATTGTTTTTGGAATATACTTTGGGTAATTAAGTTAAGCGTTTTTGTAATCGATATAAAAATAAAAATATGTATGCATGTTTTTTAAAAATTCATTCAAAGATAAAAATCAATATAGATATTTCAACATACAAATCATGAGAGCTAAGTCAAATCTATTTTATTCTTCGTTTAGATTTTTGATGCAGTTTTATGAATACAAATTGTATTTTGGACAATTGGACTTTAGAAATGGAATTTAAAATTTATCTATAAGAATTTTAAATAAATTTTACTTAGCCCACATTACAATTTTAATGAAAATGAAATACATATTTGATCATGGATAAGTTTTTAAAATATAACACTAACCTTATATTTTTGTGAATAATCTGCACCCATATTTCAGACTTTACAATTTGATGGTATCTCTTCTGCCTCTAAGACCCGATATTCAGCTACAAAGATGTTGTCCACCAAACCTGCAAAAGAAAATTTATTATTATTTAATGGAAATTGATGTTTAAGCAAATATTTTGAAATTTCTTAAAAGCTGTTTACAAAAATATTTCGCTGCAACATAGTTGCAACAAATAAGCCTACTGCAAATAAAATGCATCTGAATGCTTCAATAAAAACATTATAAAATATATAAAATAATGTAACAAGATAATTAATATCCCCCAAAGGTCATTGTAGTACATCATATGAGTAATCTTGGAATATCTTGGAATTACTGGATGCAATAATCGACAGCCTGGGGACTAACCAGTTGCAATATTGGGTAATGCTATGTTTTCAATTGAAAATCTTAAGAAAGAAAAGTGCAGAGGTATGATGATGCATCTCTTGGTGCCATTCTACCATTGCCTATAAAAGCAATTGTTAGATGCACTTGCAACAGTCGTTAGTTAATCCATAGAACCAGCAACATGAATAAACTGGTAGGTAAAAAATAGTCCAAGGGAAAATTTTAGTAGTGAAAAAAATGGAATTATTGCAAGTGATTAAATTGTGTGTAAAGTGAATTTTTGCCTTCGGATCACGCGTTTATTTTTTTTATTTACAAAGCATTTTTTGGATATACTTAATCGAAGCTGTCATGATATCTTCACGCGAAACTTGTCGGATGAAAAAATGGAGAACAAATGCAATATGGATTACAATTTAAATTGTTCAAAATTATTTGAATGTCGTACATCATAAAAATATAGGCTCTCATAATTTTTGATTTGCGCAGAGGCGCAAGTTATTTTAGAAACGAATTTCAAAAAATTTTGTAAAAATTTCACTATATGCTCTATTACAATCGATTATGCTAATATACTAACAAAGAGTAAAAAGTGCCATATTTTAAATGAGGCAATATTTTCTTTTAGTTATAGAATTTTATTAGCTGTTAGTAATAAATAAATAATAAATATATTTAATAATGTTAAGTCAATACGTTTATTCTTTTAAATCTTCACTTTAAATAAACTTTGCTACTTTATCTTTATAATAATTACCATTTATTATTTTAAAATTTTAAACGTATTTTCTAATTTTATCTCTTCCATAAAAATTCTAAATTCAATAAAGTATTAACTTTTGTTAAATTATTATAAAAACTTATTATATTTATTAATATATTAATCAAATGCTTAATAGCATTAATTACTATTTTCTTCAAATGAAGAATGTTTATTATAATTGTTAATAGATAATTTATAACTCTACATTTAAAATTTTAACTTCGTTTTTTTCGATAAATTTTGACAAATTTATATTATCTGAAATTAATTTATGAAACAACTTTTACACAATTTTTTTTTTAATCGAAAATTATTAAATTTTGTTAGGCTGTGAAAATCCTATTATATTATCTTAAATTCAATCAATAACAAAAGCAAATTTTTAAATGCTTTTCAAAAACAAAACTGTTCGACTAGTATTAGACATTGTTTCTTTGTATCTTTTTTCCTCAGATTGTAGTTTTAGCCCTAGTGGCAGCTGCAATGGCAGCCCCTCAAGACCATTTGGCCACTATTACCAGACAGGAATCAAACATCAGTCCAGATGGGTCCTCGTATCAATACAGCTATGAGACTTCCAACGGCATTGCAGCTCAGGAACAAGGAGCCCTTAATCGTAATGAAGCCATGGAAGTACAGGTAAATAAGAGAAATAAGTCGAAGGCTAAGTTTATGCTCTTTTTATTTTTTGAGAGCAATAAATAGGGAGTGGTAAGAATTCACAAAGTCCTAGATTCAGACTATATGTTTCCAGTCGATACTTTATTTAAAATGTATATCAGCACCACTTGAGCACTTCTAATAATTTTTTTTTTAATTTCAAAAGTACCATTCAACCAAAGCTCATATGTTTTGAATAAAAAATAAATTTAGAAGAGTTCAAATCAATTAAATAGATAGCGGGTCTAAATTAGATTGAAAGAATTTGCTCAAAGAATTTGAAACTTTGTAGATAATTTCATTATGAAATGTTTCATTTATATTATATAGAATGTAGAACAAGTAAATGTATAAATGAGCACTAAAGTAAAATTGTGGATACTTTTTTATATTCTTAACAAATATTATAAATAAATCAAAAACTGGGGCTATATTTTGATATATCAAAAACAGAGAATAATTTCTAATCTCCACTATACAAAGTCCGAATTTTCATATATAATCTGTTGGTTTGAGCAAAGGGCTGAAATCGACAACTAAAAGAAGTTTGACATGATATAAATCCTTCATAAAAAATTTAAGGTTGTTAACAAATTTAAAAATCTTTAAATTTTCAACAAAAATCTTTCAATTGCAGCAAAAGATTCAAATTAGCATTTACAACATCATATTAGATAAACGTAACAAAAAATTAGTGTTATAAAGTCAGTTATAAACCAATTTAAACTATTTTCTTCAAGATGAATTCATTTGAAATATGTAGAACATATAATATCTGAAATAAGATAGGGTGGTATAAAGGTGAAAACAGTATCGAGTATAACCTTCGATATATCTCTTATTAATCATAAGATAACACAAATCTTCAAATGTTCGTATAGAATCTGTTTATCCTGCCGGGTATTTAAATCAACATCTAAAAGAATGTTAAGCTGGTGCAATAATTGTAATAAAAGTTGAGAATTATAGAACATGAACATAAGGTTCATCAATAGGTTGTATGAATGAATGAATTGAATGCATTAACATGAATGAATTGATAAATGATTAATGACATATACATTAATTGAACTATATAGAATTGAATGATATAGAATGAATGTTGTTAACAAATTAAAATAAGCACTCATTGAAAAATAGAAAATACAGTGCTTTGATAACCGTGAGAAGATCATTTGCAACAAATACTACCTTTAGTAAGTAGCAAAATAAGTGTAGCAAATTATTTCATGTAATCGCAAGAACAAATCTTGAAAAAGTAATTGAGTAGAAATGTTCATTTGAAAGCATTTCTCTTGATTCAAATTAACCTGAAATGTGACAATAATTTAACTGCTTCTTTTCTATTAGGGAGGTGCAGCCTGGACCGACCCACAAGGTGAGCGTGTCCAGATCTCATACACCGCTGATGAGAATGGATACGTAGCCCAAGGATCCCACATCCCAACCCCACCGCCAATTCCTGATGCAATCCTGAGGGCTCTCGAATACATACGTACACACCCACCACCAGAAGAACGACCTGCAGGTCCTCAGAGGAGATTTTAAGAAATAATTATATAAATGGAAGAAAGTTGAAAAAAAATTATTCTAATAGCACTGCCAGAGAAATGATCCAGATGCCATTCGACACGCCTTTTGTATTTATAATATAATAAATAAAAAATGTTCATAACTAGTTGTGTTTTCCTTGATAGATCTAGTATATGAAGCTACAAATATAATATGTATATGAAATGGTAAAGATCAGAAATCTTAGATAATTATTTTAACTGTACATAAACTGACATTGATAAAATATTTATTATTCGAAAAATGCATGTAATAATAAATTATAAAAGAATTACGAACTTAACCTTGAAAGAAATTCTTTAGTAAAGTTTACACTTGTATGGATTGCTGAATCAAAACTATTTATATAAAACTAGTTACTTTAACTAACAATACACAACAAAAACTGATTTTAGAACTATAAAACTTAGTATTTTTATTAAATTTCAACTAAAAATGGATCCACGGCTTTTTATGTGTGATCATTGTTCCGCCATCTTGGATATAATGGTGTTGTGTTGTGCTGTGCGGCGTTTGTGTGTTTGACATGAAGTTAGTCGATTGTGAAGTTAGTCAATTGAAAATGCGCGCTAAATTTGAAAATGCATAAATTACGATGCAATAAAACTGTGTATGTATGCATACATATTTACTCATAAAATAACCACAAATCACACAAATATATATTTTATATCAATAATTAATAATGCTCAACTGAAAATGCTAAACGATCAATTATATAAATGTTATTATCATATAATTCTTGTTCACATAAATAAAACCATCGCGTTATAAAAAATAACTTTATTTATATTTACATGACTAAGTTTGATGGCACGATGAGAAACACGGTTTGTACATTTTTCATACACTAATTATAACAATCACTAATACTAGCAAACATTCTATTCTATTTACAATTTCTAATTTTGTTCTATTTATAATTGACTTTGTTTCGGTGGATGTGTCCTGATATATTCCAAGGCTCTTAAGATATAATCAGGGATTGGAGGTGGTGTTGGCACATGGGTTCCGACGGCCTGGTATCCGTTGGCATCGGCGGTATAGGATAGTTGGACAACCGTGTTGTCTGGGGCGTACCAGGTTGCACCACCTTGGACTAGAAAATTATTGTTGTCTAAGGGGGTTCCTTCTTCTTGAACTGATATTCCATTTTCGGTTTCGTAGCTGAATGAGTATTTGCCATCGGCGCTTTGCTCGTGACTTTGTTTCGTGATGGCTATGGGCTCATCAGCTAAGACGGCTGAAACCGCCAAAGCAATGAGGAGAATCTGAGAAAATTTTATACAAATAACATAATTGACATTAATTTTAAAGATTTGAGTTTTTGGAAAGTAGCAAATAGTGCTATCTTATCCATTTATTTAGCAACCTCCAACTGAAATCTATTGCAATTTTTTTTGTATCGAGTGAAATTGTAAAAGACTTACCAATGCGTTCATTGTTAAATGAGATAGATATTAAAACTGATGTCATTGTCCAATATTCACGCTTTTATATGAAAGACCGAATTTTGAAAGCGCCACAGGTGATATATTGCAGGCTACTTTCGCCCATCCAGATGAAGTTATTATGAAACAAATAACGCTTATGAACTCGAATCGATTCTCGTATAAACCACCTCTTCAGAATAAAAATGTATCATACGCAATTTGAATTAATTTACATCAATCTCAGGTAACATACAATTTACTTTAAAATAAAATTCAATAGCTGTATATAAGAAGCATCATTTGTAATACAATTTGCAAACACTTAAGTGAGTTTTATTTATTGTTATGTAAACATCATAAAGCATCTCTTCAGAGAGAACTTGTTTTTGATTATGATATAAATTTTTACTAATTTCATTCATATTTCCTGGTTTGATTCCGAAATTATATCGTAAATTTGAGCATAAATATCTATAATATATAACAAACTGTATCCAGAACACTCGTAAAGTTACTCCACATATTAATTAGAATAATTTTGAATATAAGTTGTTGTCAATTTCTCTGGAAGTAATATTATAAGTAATATGTATCAAATAGCATAGGAATTTGGGTTATAGATCTACAGACTTGTGCTTTATTATGATCAAATTAGGTATAGATGCATTTCAGTGAAAGTTTTAAAAAATAACGATATTTTTCAACCACACCGCAAGTGATAGAATTCTCAATAAGTAAATTAAATAAATACATAATTTAGTTCAGCATTTCATCAAACTCTTCATATGCTGAGTCTCCTAAACCAACTGCAAACAATATATAATATCCTCGATCTTATATATTTAAAACATCCAGCATTACTTGCCCATAAATTATTTATTAATTGCTAGACAAAATTTTAATGGAAAATTAATGCATAATGATGCACTACAAATAATATGATGAGCAAGTTAAATTTATGCAAGTCATTATCATAATTTAAATTAAATACCAAATGGCAAAAATGCAGCAAAACTTCCAAAAAAATTGAATTAGCATGGTGTCATTGATATTTTTTGAATATAAAAGACTGTGAATTGCACAAGAAATCATTCATAATTCTAAATTGCAATCATGAACAAGCTGGTGAGTTAAAGTATTATGGATAAATGGAAATAGTGAAAATTTATTAAATGCCCAATATTCTGAAGTTTTTGTGTGAAAACGTTATTGGAATTAATGTGCTGATATAAATCGTATATGTGCAGTTTAAAATGCTAAAGTTACTAAATTGTGTTGAATTCAGCTATAAAGCAATAATTAAATATATAAAACAAAATGACTAAATAGTGTCTATAAGCCACATGATTATTCTCTTCAAATTATAATATCTGTATCAAAATCATGTTTTGCACAAATTAGCATAAAGAGAAGAATAATGTGCTATCAAAATTGGGAACAATTATTAAGCACTATTAGAAATTAAAAATTTGCAAAAAAATGTTTGTTATATATTACTGTTATATTATATAATATATAGTTAACACTAACTATAAACTAAAGCAAGTTGTACTAGATTATATAAAATAATTTTAACAAAATATATATTTAAAAATATTTTTCTACTAGATATTGCAACTACATCAAATAATTAATGCACATGAAGAATAAATTCCATTACCATTATTATTATTATTATTTAATAATTTTTAATATTTTCTTACATTTTAGGTAATCCTCTTCGCCGTAGTGGCCGCTGCCTGCGCAGCCACCGTTCCTCACACCGGTGACGAAGCGACCGCCGAGGTTCTTCGCCACGAAACCGATGTCCACCCTGAGGGATACCACTTCAACTATGAAACTTCCAACGGCGTAGTTGCTGAAGAACAAGGATCTCTTCAAGGAGAAGCCATTGCCGCCCACGGATCTTTCCAATATGTCAGTCCCGAAGGAACACCTGTGAAAGTCACCTACGTCGCCGACGAGAACGGTTTCCAACCTACCGGAGACCATCTTCCAGTACCACCACCAGTACCAGAACATGTTTTAAAAGCCATTGAATACATCAATGCACATCCACCAAAGGAAGTTGTTGGAAAACACTAAAAAAACTTTATTGTGATTTTCTGATTGATTATGATCTGATGTTCTCTGCCGTTGAGTAGGAAATACTCGTATTTGTTTTGTATAAATTGTAAGTGTTGAATAAAAAAATAAAGATTTATGCATGTTACATGACTTTTTTTATTTTTATGCAGAAAAATATTTTTGCAAATTTTTATTTGTAGTTTGTTCGATGAAGAAAAGCCAGGGTGTAAATAAAAAAATATGGAGCACTTATTTAAATATGATTTGGGTTTTTTTATTGTTCAAAATTGCTTCTAATAATTTTTATCGATACTGTGTGTATGGGAATAACTACAACAACATTAATAATTTTTGATCTGAAATTTTCAAATGGATATAAATAATACACATGATCTTTTATTACTACATGTACTGAAATTTAGCTACGAATTTAATTTAGTTCTGTTACATCAGCGGTCTATGGTAACAAGATTAATGATGTATCGAACAATTAATTATACTAATAGAAGTATAGCCGAATAAAAAAAACTGTAATCTCAAATTAATTCAAAAATAAAAAAATCTATTGTGTTAAATGGACCAAAAAAATATCTTGGTGTATAAAACTAGACGAAAACAATTATGCAAATTACAAATGAAACGGATTTTGAAGTATCAAGATGAATAAGATATTGGTAATATTTCATGGAAAGAAACGATTTTAATATTCATGTTAAATTTTAAGTAATTTTTATCAGCAGCCGATTTCGACGTAAGGGCATTTTTACTTTTTTTAAAATAAAATCCATAAGATTATTTTGTCGTTTATCAATACTTGCAATTTCTGCATTTTAAATTATATAATCTGATCTATATACCTATATCAACATCCTAAAAAAATTGGCAGCAATTTTCAAAATCTTATCGTATTTATCATGAATTTTTATTTAAAATTTCTATTCTCATAGTTTATTTCTTACAGTACACAATGTAGTTTATAGGTCAAAGACTATATTAATATTAAATTTTGCCTGTTACTTTTTTTTATTTTCTTCATGTAATTTAATTTGTATGTTTAAATGTATTATTATATTAAAATTTTCTCATTTAAAATCAAAAAATATATTTCTTTTTTATTTGTAGGTATTACTATCTATACTATTTGCTGTTCTGGAAGTGCAGAGTGATGATGCGACACCAGACCCACGTGTACCATAAGAAGAAGGCTTAGAATTTTTGCTATCGGGCCCAATTTTGCAAGATGTGCATCCAGAAACTTTCAACAAATTCGATAGAAATATTGTTTTGGCTTCCAGAAAAACTATCCCAAACGGAAAAACATGACGTGATCTGTAACAAATATATTAGAATAAATAATATTACTAAGTCGATGTTGTGAATTTATTTTGTTTAAAAAGACAATTTATTTTGTATCAAATCAATATCTACAATTGTAATAAATGAAAGCATTTTTATAAATGATATAATTTTTGCATGAATGAATAAGTTAAATTAATGTTTTGGCACATAAAATTCAAACCGTATATAAAAATTTCTTTAAATATTATTAATTTTATTTTTAAAACAGTTAGCCGTGTATAATCATTAATTTATCAAAGTGATTTCTTATTGAAATAAAAAACTGTTTAAGTAATTGAAGGTGCAATTCTGTGGAATATAATAAATCATTATTCAATATAAAAACAAGGCTTATATATTCAAAATGATCAGATCATATTTTAGTGCAAGTGTTAACACTGAGTGGATAACATGTTCAGAATTGCGGTAATGTATAAATTACATATAATGTATTAGTATATATTGTGATGTATTAAAATTAGTAGAGAATTTAATGTCAGGATTAATAGTCATTTTCTTTAATCTTCTTAGGTAGTTAATATTCCGTGATATTAAAATTTGGACCAGAAAAATATTAAAACTTATTTTTAAACATTTTATTTTTTATTTTTTAAAACTGCATAGATGACTTGTTTAATATTTTCTAATTTTTAAATATATATTTTTCATCATCTGATTTTTTTCTAGATAATCCTTATTGCTGCCGCTACTTTAATAGTATCAAAACCATTTCATAATTTCGAAGAAGATCGTACAACTCCAGGAACGGACTTTGACTTTTTCATGGGCACCCAAGGGCAGGATGTTCATCCGGATGCATTTAACAAAGAACAAAGAGGTCCCGTTCAACAAAGAGAATCATCATCTACTATGCGCTATTTATTTATTGCAACTAAATAATTAATAATTTATTATTTAAAATTGCAATATTATATAACTTATGTATGCATAGAAATAAACAAATCATGTGAAAATTGTGTGCTAACCATTAAAAATGAATTCAATAATATAGTATCTTGAATGAAACCGATATTGGTAATACTCTGTGGTAAGAAATAAGTTTAATTATTCAGGTTTAGTTTTAAATGCATATCAATATTCTAAAGTCAACTTTATATTTTCATTCAATACAGGAAAAGGTAAAAGTTTATTAAATAATTAAATAAAAATCTGTATACCGTAATTAAATTTTAGAAAGATTTTCACAAAGTTAAGGTAATGGAAAGAAAAATATTCAGTAACTGAATCAAGATTTTAATTATGCATTAGTATATTTTAGCTATTTTGTAATAAATGCAGTATTATCAAACATAAATCAATTATTTAATATGATAAACAGTGATTTAACTTAATAATAACAATTTTAAATATTTTAAATAACAGCCGCAGTTATATGTATAAGTTGTACAGGTGGTAAAAAAATTATAATTATTTTGAAAAAGTAATTTTACAGACATTCATCCAGTTATTATAAAAAAAAATCTTAAAGGCTGTGTGTGAGAATTTAATAGAGTTACCATAAGTTTCAAGTTCCAGTTTGATACTTTTTCTATTCTTGGATGAAACAGAGAAATTGAATATTGAAAATAAAAAATTACAAAATACTTGTACAACGATCGTATTCATAAAAATTATTAATATATTTTTTTCAAATATAACCGTGTATCACATTGTCAAGGAAAGAAACTATCTCGTTTATAATTCTATACTTATTAATCATGTATGCATTTATATATCAGTGTTTCCTAATTAAATAAAAAATAGTTTCAATAATCGATGGTGGGTATTTTTATATGTTGAATATAATATAAATCGATCTATTATTATTCAATATAAAAACAAGACTTATATATTCAGAACAATCAGATCATATTTCAGTGCAAGTTTGATCACTAACAGAATAACATGTTCAGAAATGTGGTAAGAAATAATTATTTATATTTGTAATTATAAATATATATATATATATATATATGTGTGTGTGTGTGTGTGTGTGTGTGTGTGCGTGTGTTCATTAAATAAAAAATGTATAGAATATTCATTCTCAGCGAACTAAATATGTTTCAAAAACGACCATCTGTAGACCGTAGAGTAAACTAGAAAAAATAACTAGGAGAGTTCTTCCAAACAATTGGGTTCCTCTATTTTTACTTATTTTTTCTTTCTCTCACTTGACTGAAAATTTTGATTACAGGTATTTCTTATTGCTGCATCTATTTGGGTAACATCAAGACCAGTACAAAAAACTACAGAAAGTCCTACAACTCCAGGATTCGACTTAGGTTTTGTTCCAGCCCTCTACGAACAAGATGTTCATCCAGACTCATTCAACACAGTACAAAGGGACCCCACTCATCATAGGACTACGGCACCTACAACTCGCTATGTCTTCAATTAACAATGATAATTAATTGTTTAATTTTTGCATTATAATTGTAACTTATGTATGCAAATTAATAAACGAATTGGGCAAAAATTATTTTGTTCAATTATTTTACTTGGTTTAGTTTGTAAGCATCACATTACAAGTTGAACAATTTTGCAAAAATATTAATGGAGAATATTACTCAACATTATTAAAAAATAGTGTTTTGAAATATTAACTTTATAAATCAATTAATTGAATGGTTTGAAAAATAGTGTCTATCTTATATTGGCTAATATTATATTTCTATATTTTCGATCCCATAACTCAATTATTTTTTTTTATTCATGGCAACATCTAATATTTGTTAATAATATGAGTAATTGAAATAATGAGTAATTGTAAAACATGTTTCCAATAGCATGAGAATTATATATCTCATGAAAATAATGAATAGAACCTTTACCTAATGCAGATACTAAGCTGGAATACGAATAACAGATAAAAAAATAATAACCTGAACTATATTGTTGCAAATTTATTTATTTACTGAAACCCAAATATATATTGATAATACATTTTTTTAATAAAATAAATAATAATAAATAAATTTTGAAAAATCTGATTTATTAGCAACATCTAATATTTTGGCTCATGCTCTCACGTGAAGAGCCTAAAGCACTCCTTCCAGAATTTTGTCCACAATATCATTCTGGCTTCCAGCATATTTTCCTTTAGGACTCATAGCATATGATCTCTTATATCTTAAATCGACATCGACAAGATCAGAAGAACCATCTGATCTTGGCTCTGGTTTTTGATCTGGCATTTCATCTGCATCAACATTAACTAAATCCTTAGTAGGATCTCCAATGTTTGCATCGACATCGATGGCAACTACTGCAGCAAGAACTGCAACAAGGGCAAATAAAGCAATCTAAAAATCGTTTAAAGGTAATAGGTTAATAATAAATATTTAGAAAAGTCAGATAAAATAATAGAGATTATATGGAAAAAACTTACCAGTTTATTCATTCTCGTATTTTCTTAAAACTTTGTATGAAAAAACATTTCTATATCAGCTCCTTTTATACCAAAGTACTAACCTGAATAATTAGGATATAACTTAAAAATTAATCTTATTTGATTTTATACTACTTAAAATAATGAGAACGCTAATCTGAGTAAATAATATTTTAAATAAATATATTATCGCATTTTAAGATGATCTGATTTTATATACATTTTAGATTTTGGCATTACGTATCAAAAGCAATGTTTGCAGAACGATTAACTGAAATTTGTGTCAACGAACTCTTTGTTGCAAACTTAAACAATATTTCGATTATTAACCTAAATTTTACAGTTTTATATTGAATAAAAAATTGTATCGTATAATATTTGAAATATTCGACAAAAATTACTAAGAATATTTGGCAAATATGAACAAAAATCATTGAACTACAATCATTTTTAATCACTAAAATTAATATATTGATTTTTCATTGATGAAGTCGATTATTTACATATATTGGAAGGTGCAAATTTAATTTATACGTATAAGAAGTTATAAGTTAGTGCGCATTAAGGAAATGCCACTTTTATCTAATTTAGAAATATTTTTTTTTATAAATCATAATAGAGTTCATCAGAATAACCCCATTTTGGAGACTATAAGAAAAAATTGAATTAAATATCCAGAAAAAATGACTTGTTTTCATATTATTTATAGATATATTATATTCGATTCCATGACTATTTTAGAGTTATTCAACTTTTGAATTTTTCATTTTTTTTTAAATCTTTTCATCTGAAATATAATCTTTTGATTCATATAATCTCAAATAATATATTTAAAAAAACTTTTAAATATGATATCTTTCTGACTATCAACATTTTTTCCTATTTTCTTAGGGTATAGTTGCATTTTGTTAAATCACAGCAAATTATCAGAATTTTTTTTATTCAAGAGCAACAATTTGTAGTTGAGTTCTTTTTATGAAATAATTTGAGATGCAATAAGACTTTGTGGTGCAATAATAGTACCAAACAATTGAAATAAATATATAAAACAAAACATTTTATATTAATAAACATCTATTTTCTTATCAATCTCAAATCTTCTTAATACGAATATACACATTGAATGTTTTCTAATTGAATAAAAAACTGTTTCAGTGATTGAAAGCGGAATATGTTGATCAAATAGTATTAGTTATAAAAAACTTCTGTATTGAAAAAATTATGTAGGCTTATATATTTAAAACAACCAGATCATTTATCAGTGCGTATTTTAATACTAACTCGATAACATGTTCAGGAATGTGGTAATATATAAATACTTGTGTTCAAAATTAATAATAATTTGAATATCATTTTTAATATGATATTATGAAATTTGTTTTTTTTTTAACAATAGTTCACAACTTTTATTTGGATATTTTGTTTTTACTCCAGAAAACGTGACACTCATTGGATTGGATATTTTATTCCAGATTTTTCTTATTGCTGCATCTATTTGGGCAGTATCCAAACAAGTTGATAAAACTACAGAAAGTTCCACAGTTTCAAAATCGAATTCGGATTTGGACATTTATATCATGCACCATCAGCAGGATGTTCATCCAGATACATTTAACACAGAGCTTAGGGGTCCCACTTATCGTAGGACTCCTGCAACTACTACTCGTTATGTGTTTCATTGATAATAATAAATTACGGTGAATTTTATATTGTTATAAATTACACTACATTATTATTAAATAATTTATATGCAAAAACTATGTTAAAGCAATCGTTCTAATTAATTTAATACTATAGTGTCTTTAGTTCGGAAACCCTTTGTGTTTACAATTGGAAACATTACAATAGGCAAAAATAATACAAGTGAATCATATTCATTGTCTTATTATATATTTATTGGTATAAATTATTATGTGCTTCAAATATCATATTTCGATTTCCTTCTTTATATTTCTGAGTTCGATGTGCCTTATATTCTGGAAACAATTGCTAAATAAATAAGTTTCTAGTCTATTATAAATTAAAATCATTTTTGTGGGTATGCTAATTTTTATTGTTATCTATAATTCTAATATAAAGATCGTATTTTGGTATCAGTCATTTATCGCTTGAGGTCATTTAGAAGTGTCTCCTTTGTCCGGGAACCTCCCTTGGGGCGTGGGTGCGGATGTATTCCAAGGCCCTGAGGACATGTTCTGGGGTTGGTGGTGCAGTTGGCAAATGGGCACCTTGGGGTTGGAATCCGTTTTCGTCGGCGACGTAGGTGACCTCAATTGGGGTACCGTCGGGTGATGGGTATTTGAAGGATCCGCGGACTACGACGGCTTCGCCTTGGAGTTGGCCTTGTTCTTGAGCGGTGAGACCGTTGGAGGTTTCGTAGTTGAAGGCGTATCCTTCGGGGTGGACGTCAGCGGTTTGGCGGAGGACTTCGGCGGTTCTTTCATCTGTGCCATAACGGGTGGCGGCGCTGGCAACAGCCACGACGGCGAAAAGGATTACCTAAGAAAAAAAAAACTTTTGCCAAAATCCTCTTGCTTAATAACCAACTCAATTATCACACTTTTTTACTTCAATTGTAAATCTTCGAAAGCAAGTTTTAAAATTATATAAAACATTATATTATTTTCTATGACTTACCAATTTGTTCATGATGATGATTTGAGTTCAAAGAAAACACTGATTTGACTTTAGCACAGAATAGCTTTTATATCCAAAATCAACTTGTTAAAACACACCCATATTTCATATCATTTACGATGAAGATCCAATAAATATTCGAATACTGTTTTATTGTAATACAAATGGTTATATTAGTGAATATAATACGGATTGTCAAATATATTGTTTAGAATAAATTATGCTGAATCGCTAATTTGCATTATTTCGCATCGCCCTCAGCAACATCGTCTTTTAAACGCGGTCTTAATTTCATAAAGTCTGTAGAATAATCAAATAATAAAAATTCAAATTTTGAATTTAGTGACTAAATAAAACTAAATGTTGTGCTATTTATAGTTCATTCGTTAACTTAATGGTACAATATTGGGTAAATCATATTACATTTTTATTTTACATACATACTATCGATCTATATAAAGTTTGTCATCTTGTGCTTAAAACTACTAAATATAAATCTTATCTAGCAATTTCATAAATATTTTTATTGCATATTTTACCATTGGCATAAATACTATTGTAGGTAGTATAAAAATAATGTAAAAAAGATATGTAGAATTTTTTTTTTTGCTAATTTGATAATTTTACGCAATGTGAAAACATATTAATATATTTTTTACCATATCATTACTTTAAGTAAAATTCAAATCATTTTTTTTCAAACATGTTTTAAGTAGTAGGTAATAAACTAAATAAATGAGTTATTAAGAAACATTTTGCAAATATTATGGAAATTGGTATAGGTACATAATGAAAATAATAAATTGAACCTTAATCTAATTCTAATACTAAATAACCGTTATAAAAATAATAACTTGAATTATTTTGTTGCAAATGTATTTATTTACTAACACCTGTATGAATAAAACTAATACATTATTTTAATGATTAAATTCAATAAATAAATTTTGTAAATGTAATTCATCTGCAACATCTAATATTTGTGGCCCATGGTATCCCAATTTAGAGTCTATAGCACTCCTTCCAGAATTTCGTCCACAATATCATTCTGGTTTTCAGCATATTTTCCTTTAGGATTTATAGAATATGGTCTCTTATATCTTAAATGGACATCGACAAGATCAGAAGAATCATCTGATCTTAGCTCTGGCACTTCATCTGCATCAACATCAACTAAATCCTTAGTAGGATCTTCAATGTTTGCATCAATATCGAGGGCAACAACTGCAGCAACAACTGTTGCAAAGGCAAATAAAACAATCTGAAAAATATTTAAAACAAATAGATTAATATTAAATATTTATGAAAGTGAGATAAAATAATAGTGTATATATCGAAAAAACTTACTAGTTTATTCATTTTTGCATCTTGTTAAAACTGTGTATAAAAAAACATTCCAATATCATCTCTTTTTATACCAAAATAGTATCCTAATTAATCAGGATATAACTTAATAATAAATCTTATTTGATTTTATGGTACTTAAAATAATGAGAAAGCTAATCTGAGTAAAAATTATTTCAAATAAAAGTATTATCGCATTTTAAGATGATCTAATATTCTTTTAAAGAAAATTTTATATTTTTTGTCATAAGTAATGTTTGTGGAACGATTAAATGAAATTTGTATTAATGAACTGTTTGCAGTAGACCTAAACATAGATGAAAAAATAAACTCGCTGTTAATCTAAATATTGCTCAGATAAGTTAAATGTTTATTTATTGTAGAAAACAATCGACTAGAACTACAATAGACATAGACTAGAATAGATTTATTTTAATTTTGAAATTTGATATAAAACTGAATTCACCTCGATTAAAAATAAAATTATTTGAATACCATGCAGATTTAGGTTAATAATCTAAATCTATATATAAGTTTACAACAAAGAGTTCGTTGACACAAATTTCAGTTAATCGTTCTACAAACAATACTTTTGATATGTAATGCCAAAATCTGTAATATATATAATATCAGATCATCTGAAAATACAATAATACTTTTATTTGAAATAGTATTCACTCAGATTAGCGTTCTCATTATTTTAAGTACCATAAAATCAAATAAGATTAATTTTAAAGTTATATCCTGATTAATAAGGTTACTATTTTGGTATAAAAAGAGATGATATAGGAATGATCATTTATACAAAGTTTTAACAAGATACAAAAATGAATAAACTAGTAAGTTTTTTTAATATGATCACTATTATTTCATTTCACTTTTATAAATATTGAATATTAACCTATTTCCTTTAAATTTTTTTTCAGTTTGTTTTATTTGCCCTTGCAACGGTAGTTGCTGCAGTAGTTGCCATCGATGTCGATGCAAACATTGGAGATCCTACTAAGGATTTGGTTAGTGTTGATGCAGATGAAGTGCCAGATCAAAAACCAGAGCCAAGATCAGATGGTTCTTCTGATCTTGTCGATGTCGATTTAAGATATAAGAGACCATATTCTATGAATCCTGAAGGAAAATATGCTGGAAGCCAGAATGATATCGTGGACGAAATTCTGGAAGGAGTGCTTTAGGCTCTTCACGTGAGAGCACGAGCCAAAATATTAGATGTTGCTAATAAATCAGATTTTTCAAAATTTATTTATTATTATTTATTTCATTGTAACACAAATACTTTGTGAATATTTATATGGATTTTAGTAAATAAATGTAACTTCAAAAAAATTGATGTACTTTTTTTCTATTTGGTTTGTTATTAGTGGTCATTCCATTATCAAATCAAATTATAAATCATTTAGATTTTAGTAAATAATTGAAATTACAAGATAATATATTTTATAAGCAGGAATATTATTCCCACGACCATAGTATTCTGAAGCACAAATTCTGAAAAAGTTAAAAAAAGTATTCAAAATACAAATGATATAAAAACAACAGATTATAATAATTTGCTAAGCGTTTATTTTTGAGATTTTTTTAAAAACTAAAGAGGTACATTAAATCATCATTGGTCAGTCGGCATATAAATCAGAGTCGTTTTCTAGAAATGTTTCTGTTGTCCGGGAACTTCTTTGGGTGCATGGGTCCTGACGTATTCGAGAGCTCGCAGGACGTGTTCAGGTACGGCTGGGCCAACTGGCAAATGGGCTCCTTGGGGTTGGAAACCGTTTTCGTCGGCGACGTAGGTCAGGTGAACTGGGGTGCCATCGGGGGCAGTGTATTTGACTTCACCGTGGACGGCCAAGGATTCGCCTTGGAGGGCTCCTTGTTCTTCAGCCTTTACACCGTTGGAGGTTTCGTAGTTGAAGTGGTATCCTTCTGGATGGACATCGGCTTCTTGGCGCAAAACTTCGGCAACTGAGTCATCTCCTACGGCGTACACGGCGGCCACCAAAGCGAAAAGGATCACCTGATATGATAGGAGAAATGATAGAAAATTTAGTTCGAATCCTTATTTTATGTTAGTATAGTTATATCCAATTGTTTGTTGTTAATTTCACCGATTCCTAAAATATGATAAGAATCTAGGATTTGTATCTAACACTTCAACAAATTATTATCCATTACGCACAACCTCAATTTAGAATTAATTTAATAAAATATTTGTAAGATTATAATTAATAATTTTCTTTTATCACTTTTTTCACTCACCAGCTTGTTCATGATTATTGATTGATTGAGCTAATCGTTAAGACTATGACAATTTTCGACGAATTTCGCTATTTATACGAAATTTCAGATATTATACATTATGCTAATTCCGCAAATTTAATTGCATTGATTTAAGAATTTATATGATAATGCCAATTTTTTTTTCAGAGCAGATTTTGTGTAAAGTGGATGCCAAAGAACTCGTATCGAGACGATTACGCATGTTAATTACCTGGACAGGCTACAATGTTTGGAGAAACACGTATTTTCTACTATAAATTCTACTATTATAAAAATATCTTTATTAGATCCAACAGAAATTAGTATTGATAAATTGATTTGTAAGATTTAAATTTTAAAAAACTGATTTTTTGCTTCTAGATGTTACATTTCTCATCTTTCAAGGATCAATCAGGCATAGGGTACGTTTTTCCAACATAGGTTTTTTTTATTTCAAAATGAAAATTAAGAAATCAATCAAAAATAGAAAGAAGATATCAAGGCACTAGACAAATAGAATTTTTGATAATTAAAGATACAAATACTATTAGTAGTATTTTATACGATCAACTTTATATGGTCAACACCAATTAATAAATTTTTAGTTAATTAAAAAAAAAATTATATGCTATTTTTTATATTTTTAAGTGCTTTAAAAAGTATATACAATTACTCTGATTACTTTTGATTTATAAGCTTTAAACCTCTAAAATAATGTGCATAAAATTATATATCAATGCGATCATATCTGAGCTGAGATCATATTTTTTTTCTAAAAATCCTAAAAGCATGTAAAACCAAAAATCTTCAAATTTTTCTGTAAAAATTTAAAAACAATAAAATATGAAACTATATTAGTTTATGATAAAAAATCATTTTAATAATATTAATGGATAATTTGATAAGTTTTTTTTATCCATTGAACTTGAAACCAATGCAATTATTACTTTGCAATGTTCTATCAACATGCAATTGTTTCAGCAATTTGTGAATATCTATAAATTTTGATAAATTAATAAATTATTCATATTGGGGATAGAAATCAATTTGTTATAAATTTTACACAATAAATTAGCATAATTGAGAGTATCCAAATCTGTGCGTGGGAATGTCAAGGGCAATCGGTTTCGTTGAATGTTAATTCGAGTCGTTTACTTTTGTAGGAAACTCTTCTTCAAATCATTAGATAGAAGATACACGTGCTTTTGGTTATATAATTAATAAATTTATTGAAAAAATTAGATATTAAATTAGCCGAAGCAAAGAACTTCTCAATACATCCTTGCCAAACGCTTTACTCAAACGTTTTTTATCCACAAAACTAATCAACAAGCACTATTATATTTTCTATTAATGATATTGGTTAAAAAGATAAATGAACAATTAAAAAACTAATTTATTTTCTATGATCTCATTACTAAAGTGCATTGTAATAAGCCTTTTAACTGTATATACCGAATAAGAAATAAGAGCTTTCTGGCATTTACAAGTCCATAAATCTAATGCAAGTTTCCGCATTAAAAGATCAATTTCGTGCATTTCAATAATTAATTAATAACTGTCGATTGTTGAGCAAGAATAGATTTATACATCTAATTTTTGCACATACACTAAAATGATATTTGACTAAAAGAATACTTAAACTTGGGTATAATTTACCCAAATGTTAAGTTATTCAATTGAATATTTCAAGAGAATCGTAAAATGCGCAATATGCTATTTTGGTTAGATAAAAATGCATAATAAATCGATTTGCTAAAATGTGCAATAGTATGCTAAAATGTGTTGATGTGGGAATTTATAAATTATTAAACGAACGATATATTTTATATAGTAAATACAGTATTTTATTAAAAATTAATTTGTCGATTTCAGAATTATAGATAATACTGTATAGTTAAAAAATTTATTGTAGCAGCAAAAACTAAAATTATACTCTAAGCCATTAACTAAATTATACTCTATTATTTTTCAAATTGCTATTTTGTTAATAAAAAACTATTAATTAGGAAAAAATAGAATATATGCTAATGATGTAAATAATTTTACAAAAATTAAAGTATTGTACGTAATTTTTAATTTTTTAAATCTATAGAACAACTATTGCAAAAAAAACTGTATCGTTAAAATAATTAACAAAAAATATATGATGCAGTATGGAAAAAAATAATTCAATTCAATTCAATTCAAAAATAACATATTTATCAAAAATTACATGTACGTTTACAAGTACATTTTTCTAATTGAACATTTGACAGGTATATTTTTGCATTATGCATTTACATTATTTTTAATGTTAATTTTTCTATAGTGTATCATATATTCTTTATAAATTATTTTATATATTTTTGCATTTCTTATAATATTTTTTTAAAATATTTTGTAGTTTTCGACTGAATCTTTTTCTCGAGGCTGAATGCAACAATTAACAAAAGACTCTACTATAATATTTTATTTTTTTTACAACAGGCTATCTATTAATTTAATTGCCTATAAAGTATTAGGCTTCTAATATCTATAATTTGTAGCTCCTGATTAAACTGCAAAAAAAAATAAACTTGTTTCCACTCTTCGACTTATTTATATAGAGATAGATGATTGTGTGTGTTGGAGTTATTGTTTAATATCAAAGTTGATTCAAATATTTTAAAATTGCGTTGTTATATCAGGCGTAATTATTTATTGTCTATGACTAGAAAAATCTATACTTATACTAGTATAAATTTTTTTACCCATAAAATACATTTTAAGATTCAGGACTTCAGGTATTTTATAGGAGACTAAAAACACAATTTTATTTTGCAAAATGATTATATTATAGATCAAAATATCCAATACAATATCAAATAAAAAATTCATAAATTTTGTCCCGAAAAATTAAGTAAATCTAATAATCTGCACAAACGCCACTACTGACTCCTGGCCAATACTTCAATTTGTTCTTAAAAAAATTCCTAAAAATTATTTTGCTATCATAATGTGTTGAAATTCAAATATATTATTGATCTATATTTCTACTGTAATAACAAATTCTAAAATTTATGAATTTTGTCCCAGAATATTAAATATTTTGAAGAATCTCCACAAACGCCATTAGTAGATGTCTCTAGATGAATCCTTCAATTTCATAAACTGTAAACTCATAAATAATATATTTGAATATTTTTTTACGAATGTAATATGTTGTAAAAAGAATATATTTGATCATAATATGTCTACTATAACAATAAATATTGTAATTATTTTCATTTTTTTATTTATTTTATTATATAAAAATTGTGACTCGTGTCAATGAAGTGATTTACAAATTATAGATGAAGGACTGATACACCATAATATAAATAAGGGACAGACTTCTTTATATATATATATATATATATATATAAATTTAAGTATGTTATATATTTAGGTACTACTGTGTGTATGTGTTCACCTCACGTCGAGACCATCAATTAAATATTTCTATAAAGAAGATATCCTTCTTGAAAGTAATAATTCACAATCAATAACACCTTTATGATATGAATCCACTAATTTATTCTGGCAACCGAATTGTCAAAAGATACCAATAAAGCACACAATACAATTCTGGGAAAAAGAGATGAAAGGCGGGAGATGGCATTGATCAAATAATATATAAGAACGCATATTAAAAAAATCAGGCAGATTAAGTTAATCAGCAAACATGAATAAGTTGGTAAGTAATAGTTGAAAAATATAGTGAAAACGTGGAAATATAAAAAATATTGTTCTAAAATAAGTGAAACCGTGGAGGAAAAAACAAGTGCAAAGTTGTGATTTAAAAAAAAAACTCGTCTAACTCGATTAGCATAAACATTTTAGGGAAAAAATATAGGTCTAAAAATATATATTTTTACGTGAAGTTTGTCTTTTCAAGCATTTCTGTAACATTATATTTAGAAAAAGCATTTTGATTGTTTTCGAAGAGAATTCGTAAAAATACCCAAGAGATAAGAACACACGTACTTCTTATTGCTACTCAAAACAACTTAATTCACTCGACCAAGAATTTTTCGGTAATTTAGTATAAACACCGAATATGTTTGCTCCTAGCAAGGCTTATTGAAGGGCAAAACAATTTTATACTAGATACTTATATACCTACTATATAAAAAAATTCAAAATTATTTGGGTATAAACAAAAACTAAAAACACGATTTTGATAGAGATGATTAAATTGTACATTCCATATATATGAGATGAATTATTCAAATGATTCACTTTTAATTGATACCATTTTCACTAGGGTAATGTAAAAATATCCTGTCATAATCTTACAATTAGAGTCATTTTTGTATTAATTTTTTTTATTATCTTTTCCCCAGATTGTCCTGTTCGCCATCGTCGCCGCCGCCACTGCTGCGTCCCTCGACGCCAGAAACGCCGAAGTCCTTCGACAGGAATCCGACGTCCACCCCGAAGGATACTCCTACAGCTACGAAACCTCCAACGGAATATCCGCCCAAGAACAAGGCAGATTACAAGGAGAAGCCATCGCTGCCCAAGGATCCTTCCAATACACCGCCGATGATGGCACTCCAGTCCAAGTAACATACGTAGCTGACGAAAACGGTTTCCAACCCCAAGGTGCTCATTTGCCAACACCACCACCAATCCCAGACCATGTCTTGAGGGCTTTGGAATACATCCGTACTCATCCACCACCACCAACAAACAACCGATTCTAGACGATGAATAAAGACAAGGAACAATCTCTAGTTTTAAGGAAATATTTTTTTTAAAATCTGTTTCACAAAATGTAATATAAATTTGTAAAATATATTTAGTATTTAATATATGTTTAGCATATGAAAATAATTGTTTTCATTTTTTGATCTTATATAATAGATAGAAGCCATCGTATTCTTGCAACAATATATACATTTTTTATGATGATTTGATGAACACATTACAAATCAAATCCCATGTTACGTGCTACTCGATATCAGTAGTAATATTTATTTCTACTAAAAATAGATCAAAATGCACTAAATTTCAAATATACACCCATCATCAGTAATAAATTAATTCTAATAAAAAAAACTATCAATAATTAATAGGCCAACTGTTAGGTTGCCTATTATTAGTCATATGTTAAATTATAACGATCAAAAAAATTACTAAATGCATAAGGGATTGTTAAAAATCGACAGAACTATTCATGTAAGCTTTTACTATTACAAAAATAATTTATAAATTATTATTTAGATCAATATAATTGTCAAAGTTTGATTCATCTGAAATAATTTTGTAGGTATCTAATTAAACAAAAGATATTTGTAATGCGTATTTATAACTCAGAAGCTAAAAAAAGATCCACTAATTTTTGCATACGTTGGAAGGCATCTAACACATTGTTAAAATTTTTATATGGAAAATTATATATACAAAAACTTGAAAAACTTTTTTTAAAATTGAAATAAATAATGCAGATTCAAATTCAAATAAATAATTGTAGGAGCTAGTGCATTCAAAATCAGACTTTTTATGGGGTTCCCACATTTTTTTTATTCATTGAAAAATATATGCATTCTATCAGTCAGGTACATTGTCGGGCGTAAAAAACTACTCGAAATATTATTAATATCTATATTCTATTTCAGCGCTAAATATATCGTTAACATTTTTTGATACGATAGAAATTTTAACGACTTTAGTATTTGATGTCTGATGAATGTATAATTATGCAGCAGATACCAAAAATACAGAATTGTTTTTTTTTTAATGTTATTATATTTTTGCAGCTAGCACTAAGAGTTCCATATACTGTTTATCGCTTCTTTGGAAGTCATTTCTAATAATGCTGGGACTGTTTTAATTTATTGAAGCATATTTCTGAACGTTATTTTAAAGTAAACTTGTATATCACTGCTGCTTTATATCAGGTTAACTTTAACGCAAATTTGGATTCGAAACTCGTGAAAATCTCATCGTGATGCGTGAATATCGCCATTTTAAATACAATGTGAATATTACATAAAAATATTAAAAAAATAATTATTAAATATAACGTTTTGTTGCATGAATTACAATTTTAGGTCGTTCGTTAAAATCTTATTTTTTTTCATTATATATTTTTGAACTAGCGATTATTATTTTAATATAACAATAAAATGGCTTTAACTATTCTAAATTTGTTGACAATTGTTATTTAATGATTAAATTGAATTAAAATGTTAAATTTGTTAATTTTGACAATAGTTGTCCTAACACATCTTCAATAACTGACTGGTTCATGAAGTTAAATAATTAATAAAAAAAAGAATTCTTATGCGACAAATTCAAAAGGATTTTCTGCCAAAAATAACACTGAAATTTTAGATATATAACTTAATTAAATTAATTAAATATTAATCTATTAAATATTAATATATATTTCGTTCTTATTTCATATTAGCTTCAAACGAGTGTCTTAAACGAACTGATTCTTATTATATCAGATATAACTAAAACTTATCTTTTATGATATGCAAAACATCTAATGTATTTTAAAAGATTCTTGTTCAAAATTTGTGCATTAATTTTTGAATCGCGAAATAATCAAAAGTCATCTTCATAAATAATGCATTCTGGGGAAAAAACGGTCATTCCAAACTAAGATATGTTCAAAAAAAAATTCGAAAGGCCAAAGATGACATTGGCAACCATGTATATAAGATCGTTAGATAAAAAAATTGTCAGATAAAGCTAATCATCTAATAAGCAATCATGAACAAATTGGTAAGCATCTGTGATAAAAAGATTAATGAAAGTGAACAAGTGTAATTGGAACAAAGCCAAACCGAAAAATAGCCAAAATTATTGGATTTGTGTTAAAATAACATTACTAGAGTGCTAATATAATTATTTGTTTAATAAAAAGTGCTAATTACTTAGTTAACAATATCCAACATTAATAAGAAAATGTTATTTTAATTATACTTTCAATAAGGAACATTCTGTGCAATTTTATTCGTCAGCTGGAAATATAAATTTTTCCATAACTTCTGGCATTGTCAGTTGATTGAAATGTGAAATGATTTTCCGGTAAAATAATTTTATTACTTTCTAGGTCATTTTCTTCGCCGTCGTAGCAGCCGTCTGTGCCGCCCCCGTGGAAGACGAGCACGCCGAAGTCTTAAGATCAGAGGCCGATGTCCACCCAGAAGGATACTCCTTCACCTACGAAACTTCCAACGGCGTTTCAGCTCAAGAACAAGGAAGTCTGCAAGGAGAAGCCGTCGTAGCCCAAGGATCTTTCCAATACACTGCCCCTGATGGCACTCCAGTTCAAGTAACCTACGTCGCCGACGAAAACGGTTTCCAACCCCAAGGATCCCATTTGCCAACCCCACCACCAACCCCAGACCATGTTCTTAAGAGCTTGCAGTACTTGGAAGCTCACCCACCACCACCAGCAAAAAACTAAATAATTTAGGAAAATTCTAGGAAGACACATGCTTGGCTAAACTTGATTTGATGTACATTATAGATTATAAATTTTATCATAAATAATAAATACGTAATTGCAAATATTTACGATATTTCATTGACTTATAAATTTAGAATAATTCACTAACAGCAGTTAAAAGTATCATCATGAGTTGTGATGATATAACTTAACTATGTATATAGCTTTTAAGAAAGCAATCCAACGATTTTTTTCTATATTTCGTGTATATTTTTTATTACAATTTTTGAATAGTATAATTCATCTTGTAAATTTTAAATATTGAGTAATAATTATTAATAAAATTTGAGGAAAATATTCAATACAAATGCATATGAATCAGGTTTGGTTGTCATTGAATGCTTTTCTGCATTTTAGGACAAAAATAAAAAACGATGTATATACACTCATATATATACATATACATACATGTATACATACACAAGATGTTATTTTAATTTGCAAATATTGTGAACATTAAATAAATTTGCATAAATTTCGCAAACACGTGAATGTTTATGTATTAAAAAATCTTTTAAAAGATAATCTTCACTGTTGATTTAATTAAATTACATTGATTAATTGAATATATTAATATCTTAGAAATGATCACTGTGAGTTAATCTTAAATCCTAACAAATCATCCCATAATTTGAATTAAAAATTTTATTTAGAAATTAATAGAATACAAGTTTTTGTTCCCAGAACAACTGCAAGTATTTTAATTGTTTGCTATGCAGTTTTATTATTTAATTAGCATTTCTTCAGGATTATTTGTCGCCATAAAATTTAATAAAATATTGGTAAGATGAAATGAAAGGCGGGAGTTGTCATTGATGGATAAATATATAAAAGCCCAGGTCAAGGAATTGGCTAGATAAAATTAAACTGCAAACATGAACAAATTGGTAAGTGATAAGTGTGGAAGTGTATTAAGTGGAAAATCGATTATACTCAATAGTGTTAATTAAAAATTTATGTGAGAATATACAGATGGATTATACTTGTTGAATATTCTATTCTACTCATTTATACGCGTGTAAAAAACTCAGAACAGAAAATCAAACCAATATTTTAAACATATTTATACATCCGTCAACATAGAAACAAATAGTAGTGTCTCATATTTTTACTTGGAAAGTAATCATACATTCAGATCATAATATGTTTCAAAGTGGAAATAGCTTTTCCCAGCTTTTCAGAAATAAGATTATTATCTATCACCAACTTAAAAAAGAATGCCATAGCATCTGCTTTAACTTTAATGTCAATTCTAGCGAAAGTCATACTACAAATCATTTTTATATTAAAATTTAAAATTGTGATGTTTTTAATTATTTATCAAATTTTCTTTTTTATTAAATTATTTTGTGCAGTTTATAATTCTGTATTCAACAGTATTCAACCGTATCAAGTGAAAAATAAATACACGTAATATCTAACTAGACTTTTTTATCCCCCACGTAATTGTTTTTGATTTTTTGTCAAACCCCCCTCTCTCTAAAAGCCTCAGGTGATTAATGAACGCCCTCTAACTCGGAAAGACCGTAGAGATTATTTTTGTTTGGCATCGAATTTAAACTCACGCCATATTTTTAAAATGATGATAATAAACAAATATTTATTTTTAGATCATTTTTTCCGTAATAATGGCCGTCGCTTACGGCGCCGCCATCGACGCGGACAAAAACGCCGAAGTTCTGCAACGAGAACAAGATGTCCAACCGGAGGGATACTCTTACAGCTATTCGATATCTAACGGTATTGCCGCCCAAGAACAAGGTAGGCTGCAAAATGACGCAATTGCTGCTCAAGGGTCATTCCAGTTCACGGCACCCGATGGCACTCAAGTCCAACTCACTTATGTGGCCGATGAAGAAGGTTTCCACCCTCAAGGACCACATCTGCCTACTCCACCACCGATTCCTGACCACGTACTCAAAAGCATACAATATATTGAATCTCATCCACCACCATCAAATCGATAGAGAAAATAATTTAATTATTTGATATTAAACTAACTAATGTTAAAAAAAATTTTGAACAAATAGATAAATTTTGTATAAAATTTAGAATGATTTATTTATATATTTAATTGGTTTTGAAAGATGTTACAAATAAAGATTTGTCAATTTAAATTTGTGTTCTTTTTCTCATCATGAGATTTAATTATTAGTTCTTAGTAACTTTTAATATTTTTTACAAAATTGGTATTTTGTAAAAATAATATTGAAAGATCTAAAATTTTGCTATAAGACTGTATATTATTGATCTTGAGTAAATGATATTTTATAAAATTTGGAAATATTTGAGTCATTAACGGAAAAAATGTTTGTACCAATTAAGTTTGTGCTACATATAAAAACTAAATTTTTCCATATGATTATTATTTAGTAAATAATTTCCGCAATTCAATAGTGATCTTTTTGTATTTATTCAATGCAGCTATTGATAACTTAGAAATATATATTATGAAATGGAATCGGTGCTTGCTAGCAAGCCGAAACATATCTATTTTTAAATTTTATATAATTTAATTACGTACAAACTTTGGCACTATTAATTAATTTATTCAAAATTTAGAACTGTCATCATAAAATACAGCAAAATATTAGAAAAAAAAAGTTGAAAGGTAGCAGGTGACATTGAAGAATAAATATATAAGAACGTTGGATAAAGATATTTGATAGATAAAGTTTATCAGCAAACATGAACAAATTGGTAAGAAACAGTGCTTTGGTAAAATAGTAATTAAAAGATAATTTTATTGGTTTAAGTGATAAGTGATCAAATCTGCAATTCAACTAAAACTGTGATTATCCGAGCAAAAAAATTAAATACTGGAAAACCTAAAACATTTAGTTGTGATTTAAAAGTTTAATCCAAATAATTGTAACCTTAGTTGAAATTTTATAAGTGGAATTTTTAATAAAATTTTCCAGTTTATTTTTACGAAATATATAATTTAACTAAACTGGCGTGATTTTGAACTTGATTTCAAATATTTAACAGAAGCAGTTCCTGAGAATATCTTGTGATATTTTATAAAAAAAATTATTTCTTAGGTCATTTTCTTCGCCGTCGTAGCAGCCGTCTGTGCCGCCCCCGTGGACGACGAGCATGCCGAAGTCTTAAGATCAGAAGCCGATGTCCATCCTGAAGGATACTCCTTCACCTACGAAACTTCCAACGGTGTAAAAGCTGAAGAACAAGGCAATTTGCAAGGAGAAGCTATCGTAGCCCAAGGTTCCTTCCAATACACCGCCCCTGACGGCACCCCAGTTCAAGTAACCTACGTCGCCGACGAAAACGGTTTCCAACCCCAAGGATCCCACTTGCCAACCCCACCACCAACCCCTGACCATGTTCTCAAGAGTTTGCAATACTTGGAAGCTCACCCACCACCACCAGCACGTCCTTAGATAATTTCATAGGATTAGCAGAAATTGGACCCCACGATGATATAATAATGGCCCCAAGATATAAACTCTAGTTAAGATAATTTTAAGTTTTATGTTTGTGTTGAATGAATTTGTAAATTTTATTACAAAATAAAAATTTTATTATATATGCAATTGATAAATAGATCTTTTCTTTGCAATTCTAGCTTACAATATATTAAATTTCAATAATTGATTTAGTAGCATATGCAATAATATTCTAAAAATATTTTTGGTCAATCTGCGTAAGCGCTTCATGCTAATTTAAAATTCGCATTATTTTCACATAGGTCAACAACTAAATGGCAATTCATTTGCATCTCATCATAATTTAGTAAAATCATGTATTATGAAATATTCAAAAATTTGAAATAGTGTACGATTAGAGATTTTACTAATATTTTGTATTTATTTGACTCAAACTGACCATACGAGATACAATTTTAAAATTTTATCAGATCTTTATCAAACAGTAATGAACTATAAATTGGGTTCCAATCAATGTTTGATCTTATCTATGTAAATAGTTTTATGGATATAATCAGAAGCCTTATCTCTAAAAATGTTCACTAAAAATGCATTCAATCAAAATATAAAAGTCTGTGTTTCTGTTTGACGTAAAAGATACGAATAAGTTTTATTAGTACACTGTTAAGTGTCTGTTAGATAAAATTATTATAATATTAAATCAATTTGATGCAGCTGATGCAGCTCTTGGGAATTAAAGTTAATTTTTATTTTAGTATTATAAAATGTTAAAATTTTACTACGTAATTATTTAATTATCCTATTTTTGATTTAACAATTTTGCCTCACAACTTCTGAAGTTTTGATTGATAAAAATAGATCATTTTCTTCGAATGCTATCATAACATCGTTCAATTTTTAATAGATCTTCACAAATTGTTATTTAATATATCATACTGCTTGTTTTATCAAAACACGATGTATAAAATTCATTTCATTTTTATTCATTATTATCTATCATTATTGTACATTATATTGACTTAAGTTAGAAAAATCTTGGTGGTTGTTGTTGTCTGAACTGTTGTTGCTGTTGTCCTTGTGGTGCATGGGTACGAATGTATTCCAAAGACTTCAAGATATAATCTGGGATTGGTGGTGGTGTTGGCAAATGGGCACCTTGGGGTTGGAAACCATTCTCATCGGCGGTGTAGGTCAATTGGATTGGGGTTCCATCGGGAGCATAGTATTGGGAGTATCCTTGAACGGATAAGGAGTCTCCTCTCAAGGATCCTTGTTCTTGGGCAGCAATTCCATTTGAAGTTTCGTAGTTGTAGTTGTATCCGTCTTCGCGAACGTCTTGGTCTTGACGGAGGACTTGAGCGTGCTCATCAGGGCCGGCAGCGGCAAGGACAACGAAGGCCAAAAGGATGGTCTGGGCAAAATTATATTTTTTAAAAAAAAATAATATAATTATTCTATTATTAGTCATTCCATCAAACAGGGGTATAATAATCAAATAGATACTTCTATTTGCAACAATTAACTTTTAACTAATGAGTTATTAAAAGTACTATATGCAATTTTAAAATCCCAATTTCAAAGTATTAAATTTTTTAGCATATCCATTACATTTTTTTTGTACTCCATATTTTAAAACTCACAATTTTAATCATGTTGTCTTGATGCTGGGAATCTATCACAAACTGATCATTCAAACAATAGTTTCGCTTATATATGATTCCGAAAGTTAAACACGAAGATCGATATTCTCTCAAATGTCGATTAATATATGCACGTCGATCAAAAATGTGTCATACATGCATATTTAATTCAATTCTTATAGATCAGTGTGCGGTTATATAGATTATTGCTCATTTACGACAGTACAATAAATCAGAACTTCGGGAACAAGTTGTGGGCATAATCATGTTTATATTCTGTAGATTTAGTTCTTGTAGAATTTTGGAAGATTGTACATGATGGTATAGAAATGTGTAGTTCATTGTGCTATTTTTGGACTGATTGTGCAATATGTATTAGATTGCACAAATATTAATTCAGTGGTTTTACACACAAAATTCAGAATAGCCATTAGCCAAGTATAGCCAATAGTTCTGTAAGTAAGTAAATGAAGATGTATCGCTTTTCTGCATATCTGTAGATCTGTAGATTTTTTAAAATATTTATATATATATATATATATATATATATATATATATATATTTAAAATACTGATTTATTTAAAATTTATCTATACACTTTTTTTAAATTTCTCTTGAAATATAAAAAAAATCTATACGTCAATCTTTGAATAATTTTGTACTAATCATGTACTGAAACACTAACAATATATTAACACATCGACTTTTGGCGTAAATATAATATATCTCATTAAAATGTAGTTCAGTTGATTATTGTTATTTATAATAAGGCTTCCGTGAATTTCATGCAGCGACGTAAGAAAAATAATAAAATTCATCAAATTTAATAAATAAATGATACAGCTATGGCTATATTAGAATAGCTAAATACGTTATTAATACATAATTAAATTAAGATGACTTACCGAATTATTTGCGTGTCTGGTAAATACTCCCTGGTAACTTTCATTATGGCTATATATTTTTCATAAGACCCTAGTTAAAACTGTAACTCGGGGCTAAAATTTAGCCGCTAAATGACCACATAATTGTTTTAACCACTACACTTTGTAGAATTATTGAATTAAACGCATATTTTAAACATTTCAACACAAAATTTCACTTAAAATAAAATAGCTTTTATCACAAAATTTTAATAAAAATGAAATAAATTTTCAACACACTAGTGTAACGCGCGGCAAACATTTCAACTGGAATTTTTTGGCTTGAAAAATTATGTAAATTTATGTCAGCACGACAAAATTGTACTGAGGATCGACATAATTGTTTAATCTAGGAAACCTATATTTCTAGTCGTCTGTTTTCTTACTTTAATCAGGGCCGCAACGTTCTATTCAGGTATATATTATATTTTATTATTATATAGGTAATATAAATATTAGTATGATAAAGCATTGTTTTGAGAAAAAACATAATTATATTTGTATTTGTAAAATCTACTATAAAATGTACATGAATAATAATGAATTATTATTATTGATTTGCTACAATTACTAATTATCTACACGGTTTAATTTCAGAGTAATATTGATCTGAATGTATAAATATCTTAGGAATTTGAAATTAGCATCCAGTTATTAAAAAGAAAAATTAAGTTTTTCATATGTTTTTAGTCTCAATACAAAAAATATTGTTGTTCAAACTCTTTGAAAAATTTTGTTTTTTATTGAAGTTATATTTGAAAACACCTCAAACTTATTAAAATATAATTATTTAAAATTAAAATGTATTGTCTCTAACATTTTAATAAAAAATTATTATTTTTATAAAGGAAATTTATGCAAATAATTTACTTCATTTAAATGCAACATATGTACTTACATGTTACATTATTAAATTAATTTCCAAAATAGCATCTATTTAAATAATTGTTTAATTTTGATTTAAAGGAATTCTTAATGATTTATAAAATACAATTTGAAGTCGTTCGAACTACAAAATTTCTAGCATTTTTATTTAAAACACCATGTGTACTATTGTATTTTTATTAATTATTTTCTATTTACATTTATTGACTTAGATTAAAAAAATCTTGGTGGTTGTTGTTGTCTGAACTGTTGTTGTTGCTGTTGCCCTTGTGGTGCATGGGTACGAATATATTCCAAAGACTTCAAGATATAATCTGGGATTGGTGGTGGTGTTGGCAAATGAGCACCTTGGGGTTGGAAACCATTTTCGTCGGCGGTGTAAGTCAATTGAATTGGGGTTCCATCGGGAGCATAGTATTGGGAGTATCCTTGGACGGATAGGGAGTCTCCTCTCAAAGATCCTTGTTCTTGGGCAGCAATTCCATTTGAAGTTTCAAAGTTGTAGTTGTAGCCGTCTTCGCGGACGTCCTGGTCTTGGCGCAGGACTTGGGCATGCTCATCAGGGCCGGCAGCGGCTAAGGCAACGAAGGCCAAAAGGACAGCCTAGAAAATAATAAACTTTATAATAAATTCTATATTTCAATACTTAAATAAATCAATAATTAAAATATGCTAAAATGCTCTGTTTTATTTTTCAACTTACGATTTTGATCATGTTGTTATAGTAATGCAACGAGATTACAAACTGACTATTCACTGAATGGTAACGCTTTTTATATAAAACAGAAAGCGATTTGTAAAGTTTGAATTCTGTCAATATCCGCTGACATATAGAAATGGATCATAAAATTTAAATAAATGGGATGTGTGCGAAATATCGAATTGTGGAATCGATCACACAAATCGTGGGATTGTTCTCGTTTTGATATGAGCATATAAAACCACTATTATCCATAGCCGATTAAATTCATTTAGTATATTGAATGATATACAATTTAATATTTTGCAACAGTGTAATGTTAATTACGAGATAAATATATATGTAGCATTCATTATCCAAAAGGCTTCAAGTGGTTAATTGTGGTTTCCGATTTATGTCCAATGGTCTGTATTCAAGTTAACAAGATCTGATTTATGAAGTTTTAAATACATACCTTATTTTTTATCAACGACATGTTTTGTTGTTGGCTAATGTCGTTAACTGGCATTGGGTCAATGGCAATAATGTATCAGATAAGCATTTTTACATCTCCTCTCTGAAGTAATGAATAAAGAGTAATGTGCATCGGTGCAATTTTTGTCATATGCACCTGGAATAAAGGAGATGGAAAAAAACCCGTGTACTTAATATAAAAGAAGTGAAAATGCAGACTTAAATCATTCGTTACCTGTGATCCGAATAACATTAAACATGTTTAAGATAGTAAGTAGCTTGCGGTGCATCTGTATATTAGTTTAAATATCTAGTGATTAATATGATTATTTTTGTAGGTAATTTTGTTCGCATTCGCGGCTTTGGTTGTAGCAGATAAAAATGCAGAAATACTTCGACAAGGTTCAGATGTTCAACCTGAAGGATACTCTTATAACTACGAAACTTCTAACGGAATCGCTGCCCAGGAGCAAGGTGGTCTGAGTGGAGAAGCTATTGCAGCCCAAGGATCATACCAATTCACAGCTCCTGATGGAACTCCCATACAATTATCGTATATAGCCAACGAAGGAGGTTTCCAGCCACAAGGAGCGCATATACCGACACCTCCACCAATTCCAGATCAGATTTTAAGGGCTTTGGAATATATCCGTACGCACCCACCAAAAGAAGAACCTCAACAGAAAAGATTTTCCTAATGTTAAAGATTGTGATGAAAGAAGAAATAAGTGTTTATAATTTATAATAACAGATTCAGAATAAATTTATATTTCGTAATAGATATGTGTGTTTTTGTGCAAAATATTTTGATTGATACTCAAATTCTCATTAAGCAAGTATCAACTCTTTTCACTCGGATGCCGCCGCCTAGGTGGTTGAAAAAATTAAGTGGGTAAAGTTTTTTTCGAAAAAAAGTACGGCATAGATATAAAGAAGTTGAAAACCAATGCTATAAGCTGAAATATTTATTAACTTTTGACAATACAATTCAGTTATTCAATTGATTTATAATTTTTATGATGTGTTTCATAGTGTGGTATAAAGTTTCTACTTGTTGCTGCAATTGTTCACTTCTTAAATGCATATTTCAAGACTTCGTAAGAGGGTGGAAAAAAATCTTTTATCCTGTTGCTTCCCACACGAAGAATTTTATATAAATAAATTCTTCAATGAATTGTGTTTATGAGAAAGCTAGAATTGCATATTTAATGCACTGTTGCATAAAGCCGAAAAATGTGAATCAGCAACATATTCAAACATATATCTAAATATGCCATTGTTTTATAACTATGCCAATAAATAAAAAAGTAGAAATTACTAAGCTTTCTCAATAGCTCTCGGAACAAATTAATATTGTCTACTGTTTTATTTCAACATCCAATACTCAATCTTAAGTTCAATGAATCATAAAGCACCTATAGCATTTCTGGGTGAGAATGAGAATAATCAATGGTATAAAGTTTTAAGCCAATGTGAAAAAAATCTATTGAATCCATTCTCTGTTTGCATAACTATTAAAACATTTCTATCAAACGAGATTTATCTCATTGTATGTAAATTGCAATGCACCTGAAATGATTGATGGCAGAAAGTGCCGACGGTTCGTGAAATCCATTGTGCGTCGATGTTGCAAAATCTGCGCCCGATGCGTTTTCGCAACTTACGTTCCAATTCTTCGACAATTATTTGTTGTTTGCATAATACTTGTGAAGTTCAAGGTCGTAAAATACCGTAAAATACTTGCTTCGGATGCGAAACCAGTTTCAGTCGGATAAAACTTTCACTCTCGTTGGTACTCGTGAGATAATAAAACTTGCTAATAAAAGAGTAAAAAGTGGGCTATGCTGCAACTGGTGCAATATGATGGTAAGGGATTCTATTTCAAAATTGGGTTCAGCTAAATATTATTATATATGTTATAATCTAATTCAGAACAGAAAATGTGCTGTCAACTATAAATTATTATGGGTACCTTTCATGATTGTTTAATATGATTAATTAAAATATGATCGTGGTTCTACAAGATTATGAGCAGCAACCCTGAGTAGCCTTATGGTTAGAACAAACATTTTTTTACATTCACAGTTCAATAAACAAAATAGTTTTATTTGTTTTAACGGTTTTTAAATAAGGGGATCGATCATATTCCAAAACGCCGAATTAATTGCATATGAATCATTAATTTATTTTATAAAAATCTGTTTATTTTTTTTGGTTTATATACAAAAATAGTATTTCCAAAACAAATGTATCCTTGGGGAGTAGATATCATTCGTTGGAATTTTCTGATTTATTCAGATCCATCACGACAAGATAATAATAAACTAATATATACTTTATTATATCAAAATATTTTTATTTTGTTAAAAAATACAAAAAAAATGTTTTAAAATTTGCTTATTTTTTAATTTTTCAAAACTTTTATCACAATTAGTTTCATAGCATATTTTATACTATTGGATTATCAAAAATATCAGCTTTTAAATAAATATTACCACTAATATAAAAAAATATCAAAATTTTATTTGCTTTCTGTTTTTGGTGTTATAACAATATTAATTCATTATATATTATCACTTTAGTTTTGTGGTTCGTCTTTTGGTGGATGTGTCCTGATGTATTCCAAAGCTCGTACAACATGGTCTGGGATCTCAGGGGCAACTGGCAAAAGATCTCCTGATGGCTGGTAGCCGTTTTCGTCGGCGATGTAGGTCATACGCACCGGAGTTCCATCAGGAGCGGTGTACTCAAATGTTCCCTGGACGGCGATGGATTCTTCTTCGCCTCCAGCATTTTTCAAAGCACCAGATTCTTCGGCTTTGATTCCGTTGGCGGTCTCGTAAGAGAATTCGTAACCCTCAGGGTGGACATCTTGAGATTGTTTGACGATGGCGATTGGCTCCTCTTCGGCTGCGAAGGCCACGGCCACTAAGGCGCAGACTAATAACTGTAAATATCGAAAATAATTAATATTATATAAACAAATAATAAGTTGGTGTGCTTAAAAAATATGTTTTTTATCTTTTAGTCAATGAAATATTTAATATAATAGTAATCGAGTTAAAAATGACTTGGAGCTTGTTTATGGCTCAGTGTTAAAAGTCTTAGTCTTGCTACCATAACGAACAAAATTCAAACAATAGAGATCTCTGTTTTCACTTGAAAATATATTCCAAAATATTGTTTTAAGAATAATGATTATCTTTACAGAAGCTCATAGAACACAAATCTTATATCACTTATTCTGAACATATTCCGATAAATCCAAATTGAGTCCATTAAAGTAAACTTGCAAGAAGTCGTTGTCTCTAAATATATAGACAATACGTTTTCACTTCTAATTGATTAACAAATATTAAATTAACTTATTATTTTCTGTTTTCTATTTCACTTGATGTTAGTTCACTCAGAAACTTATCAGTTAGAAATAATTCACTTTTCCAAATAGTAATTGCTCTTACCAGTTTGTTCATGATTGTAGTTGAAATGTACTTTTTACACTGCCTACAAATTATTTCCAAATCTCCTTTTATACTATAATTCTAATGTCAGAAGGTCAACATTAAGATTTTTTTCTTACATAGATGTATTTACAATACAAATGCACGGTCAATTAGCGTTTGCTTAAGTAAGAAGAGGTTTGCTTTTTTATGCCGAAATTCGCTTTCTACTCCGCTCATCATGAAACATGTAATTTTTTAAAATAACTCTTGTACAAAAAACCAATGTCACATGATTTTAATATTTATTTTTGGTAGGTATATACTGGTCAAACCAGAAGTATTCTATTAAATCTGTTTATAAGTGTTTTACCATGGGTGTTAACACGCGAAGGTATACAACAACTAATGACAAGGTGTTTAGGTTACGGACACTAATTAATCAATACAAGAAAATAATTCAATATCATGACTAACAGAAGCATATTAATATTAGTGATATATAAACAACAACAGTACCTGATGTTAAAGCAAGTGCTTCGGATTTTTTTCAATTACGTACCTTTAACAGAATTATTTTAGTACCAGGCAATTCTATGAAGAAAAGTGCATTCGCATTCCTTCATTGAATTTACCATCTTTACGAGAGGTAATAAATAATCTTCCAGTAATAACTAAAAACTTGTACTATAAAATTTGCAAATCATATGCATAACCATTTGAGACTGATTATTTTGCATCTATATTGCTTAACCAAATTCCTGAACCAATATTGCAAAAAACAACTAAAATGTTATTACTGTAAAATATTAAAAGAGGTATTATATATCCAACTCAAATACTAATTTCAAATTAAATTAATTTAAAATCTTATAAAAATTACTAAAGTATTATTTGTAAGAAATCTTACATATACTTATACAAATATTTGTGTTCTGCTTCGAATGAAAAATCCCAAAAAAAAATATTTAAAAAATATTCTTTATTATCAATTTTATGAGAACTATGAATTCATCTTCAGAACATCTATCAAGATTAAAAAATGAACCAACAACGGTGATTAAATAAAAAAGGAATAAAAAGTTAAACTTATTTGTAAGTCTTATTTTTTTCTAATATTTATCATTTTAACTTTTTATTGAATTTCTATATTTTTGCATACTTATTCCATTCATTTATATTAATAATTAAGTTTTTTTATAGTAAAGTTTTTTATCTGGATTTCTGGTTCGAAGCAGGAACAGTACCAAAAATCAGCAATTCAACACACACAGATTAATAAATAAATAAATACATATATATATATATATATATATATATATATATATAAGTGTGTGTATTACTAAAACAAATTAGTTCTACAGATGTTTACATGTTTAGAATTATAATTTATAATGTGGCATGTCAAAGTTAGCACCTTAAAGGTCAAAAGTGAATTGTCTTCCAATGGAGGTCGCATGAATATTTAGATATTGCATAGGGCAAATGAGTTATATATAATTTAAAAGTTATATATAATACTCTATAATTATTGTAGAGCAAGAACCAGACCTTAAATGGGTAAAGGATTCACTATTAATCATTATAATTACCCGAAAATAATTAAATTAAAAATACCAATTATTGTCCCTTTCTCATCATTTGTAATTATTTGTGCAGCTACAAGTATTAATAATTATAGTTTGAACAAAATCATTTTTTATGAATTAAATTATGTACTTAAATTTGTAATCCTTTTTGCTGATAATAGAAATTTGTCGTTCTAAACATATAATAGAAAAATCATTTATATTTGTATAAGACAATGCTTCAGGAATTTGCAAAACATAATCGAAACTTTAATATTATTTAATAAATAGTGGAAAAAGTGTTGTAGTATGATCATATTATCAATAATAACCCAGTTAAAAAGATTTCCCAGCAATTGTAGTATATATATTATTATTACCGCATTAATATAATACTTTCAATAATTATTTCTCAACTTTTTCGTTATTATATAAAAATATTCACCATTTTTTCGAACATACTGTGCTAAGTGTTTGTTAAATAAACATAAATTGTTGAATAAATTTGAACATGCGCAATAATGAAACGTCTAAGTAAATTGTCATAGAATAAATATTTATTTACAAAAAATAGACTTTCACTTAATATAAATATTTGTTGTTCAATTAATATTCCTCACACAGTTTAGAAGAATTGCTGTTGTTGAGGTTGGTCTTTTGGTGGATGAGTACGGATGTATTCCAAAGCCCTCAAGACATGGTCTGGGATTGGTGGTGGAGTTGGCAAATGAGCTCCTTGGGGTTGGAAACCTCCTTCATCGGCGACGTAAGAGACTTGGATTGGGGTGCCATCGGGAGCAGTGTATTGGAAGGATCCTTGGGCAGCAATGGCTTCGCCGTTTAAGTTGCCTTGTTCCTGGGCTGCGATACCGTTGGAGGTTTCGTAGCTGTAGGAGTATCCATCAGGACGAACGTCTTGTTCCTGTCGGAGAACTTGGGCGCTCTCGTCGGGACCTGCTGCCGCCAAAGCTACCACGGCGAATAAGATCACCTAAAATAGTAAAAGACTTAATAAAAAATCACTGATTGATATTACAAACTTTTAATTTTCTCAACTGATGGCTAATTTTGTTATTATTATAATAATTCACTTACAAATTTGTTCATGTTGAATGATTGAGTAAAAATCACACACTAATTTGGTATGATAGACACCTCGCTTTTATATAAATTGTTACGATTGAATTTGTCAAATTGATAAATGTTGGAACCTTCTTCATTCTGTGTCTTTTGTAATATCATAATGTTGCGCAGCCCATCTATTTCATTTCATTTTATTAAAAGGTATGTCACATGCAATATGTCATATATCATCGGATGCCCGTAGGTGTTCTCTAACATTTGACACGGTCCATTTCGTCATTTGCGACTCAGATTTGCTCAGGGACGATGACTCAAATTTGTTTTCTGCGGTCTATGATGTATCTTTTATCTAAATGTTTTGGAGTTCTTTATGCAAATAAAATAACCTCGGTCAGTTTATACACAAAACAACAGTATCATCATGCACTTCTGAATAATTCATGATAGTAATATTCATTTACAATATACTGATAATGATAGGATTCATACTTGGTACAACTATAGACGAAACAGTGATCTTTTTTACCTTTTGTCGTAGCAGTTGTTTAATTATTTTATTTTAAATAATTGCTAAAATTAATAATCAACTCAAAGTTTTTGAAATTCAAAGTATCCTTCTAAATCGAATCTCTATTTACAAGAGTTGTGCTATTTGTGAATACTTAACCAATTCAGGTTTACATTTCTTATATTTTTTCGAAGACAAAGTATATGTTTATCCTAATTTTTTTTTTCACTAATTTCATGTTTTCTCGACATTTCAAGTCATTCTGAATCATTTGAGACCAAATTTGGAAAAAAGTTTGTGTGTGCATTTGAGAACAGATTTTTGACCTCTTGGTGAGATTTTCTCAAAAATGAAAACACCAATTTTAAAATTTAAGCCATTTCATATAACTCCATAAAGACTCGGGTGCTTAAGTTTGCGAAATGACCGGTCGAGCTTGTTCTTTATAATTAAAGAGGTGCAAACAGTTTTGTATCGTTTGCTAAAAATGCTGAATCGATTTTGAAACTGTTCGAGTGATATTAGTCGAAAAATGTTCTGAGTTTGTAGCTAAGTTCGGCGGACCATTTATTAGCATTTAATTATAGAGAAAATGCAACTTTAAATGAATATGAAGCATTATGATACCTTCATTTTTTTATTTTCGTTCATGCTCTAAACAAAAATCTTAAAATATTACAAGTCTATGAAAAATGGTTTAATTGCAAATTTTTACTAAAATTTTGAATTTCTCGCCAAGCTAATACACCGTGTATGCATGCGGATGTTCGTTATTCGCTAATTAATTTATTACTTTTAAACTATTTATCGAATATAACTGATAAGACTGGCAAATTTGAACAAAATTGAATAAACTACATTTGTATCTAATTTTTTAGACTCTACAGCAACTCGGTACACTTAAAAATAATTTATAAATTAATATATTGATTCTTGCTTAAGTCGATGATTTACATACTTAATTTTCTTAAGGCAAAATGCTTCAACTACATCTAGTTATTTTTTATTTGCTCGATATTATTTCAAACAATATACAAAAAGGATCAAAATGCGGTCCTGAACAATTAATTTTTGATAGCAAATGTTAAAACCTAATTCCTGTCAGGTTTCTGTTATAAAACACGTGTTGAATGGATTGTTGACATAAGATGTGATAACACCATATATGATCATATATTTTGATATATTTAGTGATAAAAGGATTTATTGATAATATTTTAATTAAATGATATTAAACATTCTATTTCGAAAAGACTGAAGAAACGAAACAATTTAACAAAATATTCTAAGAGAGAACAAATTGGTTGTTTAAATTATTCTTTAAAATGGCTGACATTAGAGATCATTTAATAGTAGGCACAATTGTACATTCTTTGTCAATTGATGATTTAAATATAATAAATAAAGGATACTTAGCAGTTAAAGATGGCAAGGTTTGTATAATTGATATTTAATAAATTGATACTTTAATAACGACAAGAGAAAATGTTGCTTATTCAAAACCACTACCTTATTTTACTTTACTAAATGTATCATGTTTGCAAATTGCTTGTAATATCTTAATCTCATCAATATCCTTACAGATTGTTGCAATCGGAGATGCTTCATCCGTCCAAGATGTTTCAGAGTATATTTCAAAGCACGGATTAAACTGTGAGATTACCCAATTATCTGAAACTCAATTTATTATGCCTGGATTTATAGATTGCCATATACATGCTCCACAAATGCCTAATATTGGTTTAGGACTCGGTCTGCCTTTACTCGATTGGTTGGATACATTTACTTTTCCATTAGAGACTGAATATAAAAACGTTGATTTTGCCAGCAAAGTTTATGACAAAGTTGTGGTAAGCAGAAATTATCTTAATAGTAAGAGTTTTATTTGATTTTAGTAAAGGTTTTATGTACATGTTTTTTAGAGTAGAACACTAGAATGTGGAACTACGACAGCTTCTTATTTTGCTACTATACATAAGGAAAGCACTTTGGCATTAGCTAGGGCTTGTGATATTCAAGGGCAACGAGCGCTTATTGGCAAAGTAAGTTTATTTGAAATAAGTTTATACTATCACTAAATTCTCTAGTCGATCACAAGGTAATGCAATTATTGTTTAAAAGTCAGTATCGTTTCCAGTATATATGGGGTTTATTTATATTTTAAATTTAGAATATATATATATATATATATATATATATAATTAAAAGTAATAATTGCTGTGAAGGATATAATTTTATGTTTGCCAAATGCATATATACAAAGTAAATCTATTGATGTTATAAGTAGCACTGATGAAATGATATTATTGCCCATTTTATTGATTAAGATCTTTACAATTTACAATGAAATACAAACTCTAGATAATAAGACTTCAGAAACTACATATTTAGTTGTTTAATTTAATTACTTACTTTTGGTTTCTTTGAGTAAGCATTTAATTTACATTTACGTGATTATCAAATGATAATCTTTTAATTTTAGTTAGTTTCTATAAATTTTATTTATATTTAATATATAATGATATTCCTAAGTAACAAAATGATCAATTTGTTATATGATGTATATAATTTATATAAAATATGCTTACTTCTGGAACTATCAACATATTTATAATATGTATTTAATAATATTGTGTAAAAATAATGAGAATTAGAATTGATTTACATATTTGATACTTGATTATTACTGTAGCTAATAAATTAATAATAGTAATTCTTTATAATAAATTCATATAAAACAGCTTATAAAATATAAACTATAGGAAAGACTTTTATATTTTATAAGCATTGGTTTTTTCTATGTTTATTACCATTTTAGGTCAATATGAATGCTTTAATTCCTAGCTATTATCGTGAAGATACATATGACTCTATTCAAGACACCAAAGACATTATAAATGCTATTTCTCGCATGAACAGTAAACTTATTAAACCAATAATTACACCAAGATTTGTTCTAAGTTGTGATATGCACTTGATGACCGAACTAGCTAAAATTGCCAAAGAGAATAACTTACATATACAGGTAACAATATTTAAATTAAAATTCTTAAATAACAAACTGATCATTTTGGTATATGAATAAATATAGCATCTACATAATAATAACATATTGTAATTTGAATTTTACTTACTTTTAGTCACATATTTCTGAAAATAAAGCTGAAGTGAAAGTGGTTGCAAAAACATATTCAAGTAATAAAAATTATGCGAGTGTTTATGATGAAGCACAGTTGCTTACAAATAAGGTTTGTATAAATGCATTTTGTTTTGTACTGAGCTTTAGATTTTTATACTCATAATTAACATTTTTAATACAGACAATTATGGCACATGGAGTATATTTAACTGATGATGAATTAATATTATTAAAGCAACGTGGCACTTCTATTGCTCATTGTCCTTCTTCAAATACAAATCTTGCTTCTGGTTTATGTAATGTCAGGCGTTTATTAAAAGCTGGACTGACAGTTGGCTTAGGAACTGGTACAAATGATAATTCCACAATGAATTTCTATGTTTTATTCTACTGTACTAATACATTATTTATTTTAATCAGATATTTCTGGTGGTAATACCTGTCTTATTCTGGATGTGATGCGAAGAGCTTTAGATGTATCCCAACATTTGAGCTTTTTGAAATCGGATAATGTTGTATGTCCAAGTGAAATGGTGATTGAAGAACAAACATCATTAACACATGCTAATGTAATATATCTGGCAACTTTAGGTGGTGCAGAAGGTAATATAGCTATAGTTTTATAATAAATAGCTGGGGCTAATTGTTAATTAATTTTATTTTTACTTTCAGCCTTATCTCTGGATAGTCAAATTGGAAACTTTAAATTTGGCAAAGATTTTGATGCCTTAATAGTTGATATTAATGTGCCTGGATCTCCAATAGTCAATTTTGAAATGACAGACGCATTAACTACCAAACTTGCTTCAGATGATGATGCTAAAATTTCAAATTATTTGCAGAAATTTATTTTAGTCGGCGATGAAAGAAATATTATCAAGGTATTTGTAGATGGTAAGCAAGTAAAATAACTTTTAGTTCTTGGACAAGCATTATGTGCCTTATAATTTAAATTTTATCTAATGGTAAATGCCAATAGTGTCCTTGTATGATAGTTAATTAGGTAATAAGCGAAATGTGATACGGAATACGTAAATCAATTCTAATTCTCAACATTTTTACACAATTTTATTAAATATATATTATATTGTTATAAATATGTTGATAGTACCTAAAGTAGGCAATGTTTTATTAAATTATATACATAATAAATTGATCATTTTGTTAAGTATTTGATTATATTTTAAATATAAATAAAATTTATAAAATCTAACTTATATTAAAAAGATTTTCATTTGATAATCACATAAATCTAAATAAATGCTTATTCAAAGAAACCAAGTAATTCAAAATCACTGAACAATAAAATACCTCTAAATAATCTAATGTAAATTATTTTGTTTCAAGTCTTTTACATAGAGATTGTATTTTATTGTAAATTTAACAGATTGTTTAACTTATTTTTTAAAATGACTCAAAATCATCTAAACGTGCAATGATACAATGCGATATTTCTGTACTTCATAAATAATTTATAACAAAAATATATTTATTTGGTATATATGCATTTGGTAAACAGCAAATTATATCCCTAAGCTTCAATTTTCACTTATAATTCAATATACTATTTACGATTTGGTAAACCTTGGTTTAATAAATATTTGTCTTTGGTTATCACGTGTGCATTATATTTTGAGAATCCCGATGATCTGCCCATGTGACTCTTCGGCTTAAGCTTGGATATCCAAATGCCATGTTATCATTTATTTGTCCGAAAGAACTTCTATCATAGTCGATATCGGCATACTTTTTATATCTATATTTTTTCCAAATCATTAGTGTTGATAATCAATACATAAGTTATGGGTATGGATATTTACCGTCTAATTACTGTTATACAACCAGCTAAAAGAATGAATTGGAGAAGTAACCATACCACAATTATACATATGATGAGAGTTTGATCGATACAAACTACATGATGACTGTCGTCTGAAAATGGAAATAATTGTAGATTGAGTTTATTATTAACATTAGATAGTTTATAGTTTATTATTAATATTAGAATGAGTTTATTATCAACATACCAACTCCAGCCAATAAAATCTGTTGGTTTTCTCCATATATTAATTTATCTTGAATAACTTCCGGCTCGTAAACAATTATTCTTTAGAATAAAAAAAATTAATTAGGTGTGAATGATTGAAATATCTATTATTTTTATTGTATATATTTACTTAAACTGTACTGGTATTTCACTGTTCATCATCATTGGTACTTCTGTTGAAGTTTGGGCTGAATGGACTATTTCTGCTTCTTGATCTGATATTGTAACATTATTTGTTTCTTGGGATGACGATCGTCTTTCTCTTGCGATTTGAATTTCATCACATTGCAGCTAAAAATAAATTCAGAATCGATCACAAAAACATATTTTGTGTCTTTTATCCAAATCATTTTATCCTTTTACCGGTGGGCATTGCCTCAAGCAAAATTTAACTAGAGCGCTAAATTGCACTACAGGATATCCAGTAAATTTGAAAGCTTGGAATCTTCCGAGCAAAAGCTTCGAATGAGCTGTTCTTATTTCTTGAAGGGCAGGAAAAACTTTTTCATCTGTTGGACAGCCTCGATTGTCCAACAAGAGAATGGAAGCACGGCCGTCCTCTGAACGTGCTATTAAATTTATAGCACGGACATCGTAAGGCCCTGGGAAGAGAAAAGGATACATGAATTAAAAATTTAGTAGGCGCACAAGTTACGATTGAAATAAATTGAATGCATCTCAGTGTGTTAAAAAAAATTACTGGAATTCATATTGATTCTTTGTAATTCATTTGGTCTCTTATATATCATAATCATTACCATCAGCAGGAGTAATTTCGATCCTCATTTCGAGTCGTTGTCCAAGTTGAGCGTCTTGAGCAATATTTAAATCGGTATCAAGCAGACTCAGAGTTACTGCAGGTGTTGCGGCACTTGAATTTATTACAATGGATCCTTGGCTTGGCATTGGCCTGTGATATAATGCAGATATAAATAATAGTGCAATCATTCCATTCATCTAAATAAGCATTGCGAATAATTACTGAATCGTGATATTTTTCTATTTTAATTTCCTGCATAACTTTATAATATAATCACACTAAAATCAAGTCAATTTGAAAAAAGACGTTTTTGTGTGTATATATATATATATACGTATGTGTGTATGTAAGTAAATGAATAAAAATGAAAGGTATATTTTACTGATTATCATCGAACGTAACGGCTCCGTGCAAAGTAGCATCATTCGGCGTGAAGAATTCTTGTTTCCCAGATTCGTCCAGCACGCATCCGACTCTGACAAGACGATCACCTTGAGTTTGAATTATCGGATTGTTCTGGACAACCAATAAAGTACTAAGGAGGGTCCTGGAATGCATTCAAACATTCGCGTTATTATAAATACTTTCTATTAGATTTGTATCTGTTATCATATTGTAAGTGGAAATTAATTGAAAGTATCGTGGGAAGGAAAAATGATTTATAGAGTAATAAAGTGGCAAAGAATAATTAGTTGAGATTTTTTGATTTGGTTTTTTACAAATTTAAGTCTAAATTCATTCTAATTGTTTTTTTGTCAGTGCTCTATTTACAAGTAAGGGACCTATAAACGATACATGATTAAGAATTGATTTTTTTAAGAAGTAAGATCAAGAAATTAGTTATTTGATCGTACTAAATCTTGGTTTGCTAGTCATTATAATTTTGCGTAAGAAATAAAACATTGATATTTGAGAAGATCATGTTGTTTTCAAAACGACCATTACTATGAAATTGTTTTTTTTTTTTTGTATAATTAGTCCATAATACTATTGAAATATTGTGAATTGATTAATTTAGCAGTAATAAATTCGTGAGAACGCAATCACAAACACAATTTTATCGTGTTATGGGGTCCCATGTATCTTTTATTTCTTTTCACCTATTTCGTTCCGCTCTGCTGAAAGCCCTGGTGATTCCGCATCGCTCTGGTCTTCCTGAACCAGCGGAGAGAGGTATTCTGAGCAGAGTCTCTTTGCTGCCGCGGCCTTGCACGCCGCAGAAGTCCGAATAGCCGCTCGCGTACAATCGCCCGCGAAACGGCAGCGTCGACTTGAACAAAACTCGTAACTCAAGTCCGTCGCAACTGACCGACACTAAATGTAAAACACATTTAATATGACTGATATTTATACAAATCGACATATTTATAATAATTTATATAACTCACTATTGAGGCATTTCACTCTATGCATATAGACTGCGCCGTTTAATTTTCGTACCAGGCGTGGTCCAAGAGCCAAAGCATCAGCACTATGTAGCAGGCAATGGTTTTCCCAAATTGTGTAACCTCGACATACAAATTTGGCTTCGTTTTGACATGCATGCTGGCACTAAAATAATATAAATAAATAATATAAATCTAAACGTAAGTAGCTCTTAAATTGAGCCTTTACGATCGATCGGTAAGGCGATCAGTTTAGGGATCGTTACAGTAAAACAAAATTGATTCCATTCTGTATTCGAACATGTTTTGATCCTTATTACAAATTATTTTATGTGTTCTTTTCTCACCTCTGACTTGTTCAATGCTAAATATTGAACATCTGAATGTAGGAAAGTACTGTTTGTGAATTCCTCATATGAACAGAATTCGTCAGTCGAAACTGAAACAAAGAATAGCATTGTATTTTTTTTCAAATCTATCAAGCATGGGATATTATATTTTAAGTTTCTTACGTATTTCCACGCATTCGTTCTCAATATATTCAAAATCCATATTCGAAACTCGAAAACTCTCCGGTTGAGTATATTTGTCTTCTCGACTTAAAGTGCACCTGCCTAATATTTCGGCTGTGCCCCCAGTGGCTCGTAAGTCTTGTTGAATATCTGGCAAAGGGGCCACTGAAAAAGGGTTTTCAGTTGCGGCATATGGTCCTGGAAAATAAATTATAATCAGATCGAATTCTTACTACCAATTAAGTTTATTTAACTTAACGTGTTTTCGATTTCAATGAATCTATACACCTATCAGTCAAACAATGATATTTTTATCAAATACTATTACTATTATTAGTATTTTAATATATAGAGTTGTTGATTTATATGTTATCTCACCGTCCATGTTGGGATCTCGTTCCCCGGCACCTACTATTTGAAAAGTAGCCGATCTACACGTAAAACTTCTTTCATGAATGCAAGACCAGGCACATTGCTTTCTGGTTATAAGCCGAGGTATCAATTTATCGTGAAATCCAACTAAAACGGCGCCTTTGATTCTTTCCGTTGACCAAAGCTTGCCGGAAGCTTCCTCCGGAACTACAAATAAATATAATATAATAGGAAAATTCATCAGTACATTCATTCATTCTGCATTTCTTTAGAATTTATATACTTTAGTTTGAAACTAATAATTTTCAACTTGTTTAATCCAAAAATAAATTTCTACTTCCTATTGTTATTTTTACGGTGTCCTTTACCATCCATGCAAATTTTCTTGAAAACCGCCGCCGTCGCGTCCTGCTCGAGCTCCTGTTCATCGTCGACTTGTTCTCCTACCCGATCATAAGGAGAGCCCAGGACAGTGTCGTCCTTCATTAGCCCAAAACATTCCGATTTTCCGTAGAATAAAGTGACGGACATGCATGCCCCGAGAGCCTTGCATCGCTCGAGGCAGGCGATGGTGACCGGGGCTCCGGGCGCGGAATCGGTGAGGGAGAGGCCGGTCCGGTGTCGCAAAGTAAATAGAGATAACCGGGAAGAAAGTCCGGACGATGGTCGCACTCCGAGGATTTTCTCGAAACTCACTCTTTGAGGAGGGCATTCGAATTGCTGAACGGCTAGAATAGATAATGAATAAAAAATAAAATAAAACATACAACAAAGGCTATAGTCACGTTTTATTTAATGTTTTCAAATACTAATATTATTATACCACTATAATTCAATCAAATTTTATTCCTATCATAAATATCCATCGATAATCCGATTATGATAATATTTTCATTACAATTTTTCGGTGTGAACAATACAAGCTTGAGAATGTTTCTCCATATCTCCACATTGATCATACTTTGATTCGGAATATGAAATTCCCATAATTGTAATACTATAAACATTATAAAGTCATAACAAAAAAATTCATTTGTAGTTTGTAATCCGCGGTATAATTATTTGTTATTAATTTAAATTATTGAAATATTATTGATATAACACTGCCCGAATATAGAGTTTTATGAAAACACCTATTACCAAAAACTGATATGTGTATTTGCATATCTCCAAGCAATGGGAATTATAAAATATAATTGATATTGTGATATTGATGATAAGGTTAAAAAAAAACATTTTTAAATTTTTGGTATGAATTTAAGAATAATACATGCTTTTAATCCTCGTTTTTAGACGGTGTTATTAGTCTTGACGCTCATAAAAATCTTTGGTATACAATTCCATAATTTTTGTTTCTGACCACTATGGGCTCATATTTTTTTCTTACGAATTTAATAATAATAAACATTTTTAGTTCTCATATTTTAACAGTCTTATAATCTGTTGTGCTTGAATTTCTTCATTAAAGGTGCTTTTTTATATGGCAACCAGACGATTATTTTACCTGTACTCGTATTTAATAGATTTTTTTTATTTTTTTTTATAATATAAGGATTATCTCAAACATATATTTAGCATATTATTATTACATGATGATATATCATTTAATAATATTTTTGAAGTCGATTTTCTTCTTCCTGCAAATTATTAGTAGATCTTAAGGCATTTGATAAAGCTAAAAGTTGAAGGCATAAGTAAAATAAATATCACAATATATGAATTTTAATTTTTATTTAATGCTTTATCTTTATATGACTGCACAATTGAATAATAATTATTTTATTATTAATTTTTTATTTATAAATTAAATTTATTAAATTAATTTACCAAAATTTAAAAGACATGCTGGGTAAACTTTCGGTGCATTAACTCGATGATTCTCATATTAAATAAATTACTAAATTTTTTTATAATGAAATTAAAAAATATATTGTGTGATTCATTAGCTGATTTAGTTTTTGCATATTTTTCCAACCATTAGTCACCTCATTTACGTAATACAGTGCAGTGTTCTTTGATCATTTTTTTTTTTGCATTACCTGCTTATATATGATATTACGGACAATATTAAAAAGTCATTAATCAATCACGAAGCGTTCATAATTAATAATATTATCTGTCCAAATACAACAATTATTTTACAACAGATAATATAAGAACAATGCTTAATAAAAACATGTTTATGCGTTCACATAATTTCAAAATGCACGCGTCGCAAGGCCGTACATATTTTAACTGCGCTACACAAAATAATACGTTATGTCATGAAATGAAAATTAGCATGATAATACCTGTATTCCCTGGAAATAGAACTATAGCTACAACACTTGACACTAGATATAGCAAGTGCATTTTTTCCACAAATTTCACTAAAAATCTTGATGGATCACTGTAACCCGCAGTATCATTTCACACGTGCACTGTTTCAAACTAACGGCCGCGGGTCGTCGTCATTTTCGGGTGTTTTAAATTTCATTTGCGTCTCATATCGACAGGTTCGATTTCGTTGAAGATATTCGGTCGAATGATGAAATGCGAATCGAACTGACTGACAACAAACGCATCTCTGGAACTAATGAAACCTAAACAACAGAACACATGTCACATGTGTATATATCGAAAGACCGTGAGCGCGTATGCGACTCCCTGCACAGGACCGTCTATTATAGAGACAGGAGAGATAACATTCAGACGATTCAGACGTTGTTTATATTATGGACGGATCATTATTAATCGTTATTTGATTACACTTGAAAATTATGTAATAGTCGATTATTGGAAACAACAAGACGTCATTAGATGCATGTAAATTTTGAGGTAATACGAGGGAGTGGCAGATCCTTTTGCATATTTTGAACTTGCTTGTAGATACTAATGATCTTAAATTCATTTTATTGATTTTCAAATAGAACTTTAATCTGAAATTTCGTTCTTTAGATTTAGAATAAATCCTAATATATAAGTTATTTATTTCATTTTTTTGACAAAAAATTGGGAATCGGACATGTAGTATCTGCCCTATCAATTTCAGTTTGATAAAAAAGTCAACCATTGCCCATGTTAATCATAAAAATCTACTTAAATATTTAGGACCTAGCGGTGCACATGGCATCGTGTCTTAAGGCAAATTGCTGGAACTTCCCGAACCAAATATTAACATGTTTAAAAATCTTTAGATTTAATCACTCAGATATTTATTAATTATTTTAAAATTCCTTCAAGTTCTAATTTCGCTTCTGGTTTTCCATTTATGCATGGACACATACATCAGTGAAATTGTGCTATTATTGTGTTAATAGTTTGTTACCGCAGTGCAAATAGTTTAATTTATGCATGCATAATATATAGGTGATGCTTTGAATTTTTTTGTATACATTAAGTAATTAGAAGAAAATTGTTTTCTGGTCATGACAGAGGAATTTTGATAATACTCTCGTAATATGCTTAAAATAGACTTATGAAGGAAATTTTTATTTTAAAATACTGAAATCATACTGATTTATCTATATTGCATATTTTACTTTATTACTAAGTATAAAAATGCAAAATATTTCAATAAAATATAATTACATTAATAAAATGATTTATAGATATATGTCTATGTCTAAATAATCCATTTTGAAGAATTGTCTCATACTCTGGGGAATTTTGAATTATAACAATACAAACATGGCACAATTGTATCAATACAAATGTGAGTCTGGGCCTTTCTGTTAAATTTTACGCATGCATTCAAATATTGATGAATGGAGATATTCTACGTAAATATTATCGGCCTAAATATTTTATATGTAAATTATGCATATGTTGGGATAAAGATACCTCAAAAAAATATCTGCTACTAAAATTACCTGTTAAGTTTTAGGTAAACATTGCAAGAAACTGTATATGATACATTCATGCACTTTTACTGCAATTCTATCCATTTTTTAAATATTATAAAAAAAATTATTTAAATTTATTGTACTTAATTCAGTATCATCATCAGCCTGAAAATATCACATCATCGACTTATTAAAAAAAAAATTTTTTCTTCCAATAGTAATATTTTTTATTGGATTCCTGGGTATAAAAAACGAATCAAACTTTGTATATTTTTATATATTATTTCTCATTAGTTTTATATCTTCTATTTATAGGATGAAAATTGTAATAACAAAAAATAGAGAAATGTTGAAAATTTTATAAAGCAACCAAATTAATAACAAAGTAAACATGTTTATGACAAGGTAAGCTAAAATTATTTTTAAGGTATATATATATATATATATATATATAATATTTATATATATATATAATATTAATTATTATTATTATTCTGATACCAATTTCTACCATATCGTTGTGAAAGTTTCCAATCTGCCAATCCTTATTTGTAAATTCATCGCCAAATTATCGAATGCAATAGTATTTACATTTTGTAATCAAATTCTTCATATTTATTCGTTGATTGTAACATATTTAATTCTAGATAATACAATATGCATTAGCATATTCATGATCCATGACGATACCTATATATTTTGATGACTTCATGATCTTAAGTAATTCAAAGGATAGTTTAGTAAATCGTAGAAAAATTCACATTACGCAATTATAATAGACCGATGTAATTTGTAAGATTTAAATTTATACGGAATCCCACAAGATTAGTGGGGTCAAGGGTCGATACCCGTCTTGGACAGCCTGATGTCAAGCAGTGGTAGAATTAGAATTAGATAGAAATATGCAATGTTGCATCAACAAAAAAATTATCAATAAAGCTATAATAAAATTTATAACAGAGGAAAGGTCTCAGTAATTGATAAATTTTATTTTATTAATTCAGTTTTGTCTATTGAGACTGGAATTATTATATGCTCAATATATTATGTAAGAGAAGTAGTTTTTCTGGTTTAAAGCAATTATGAGTTTTTTGGTTGCAAGTAAGTACGACATAATGGACAATTTAATTTCGCTGCAAAACAGTAGTGCAGTATGTCAAGGCACTCACCTGTAAAATAATGTTACTTTATGGACTTTAGTTATTTATTCTTTAATTGTCTTCTGTTATTTGTAGAAATAATATTTTATAATTTTTTATTAATTTCTGCTATTTGTATTTTTATCGTAAAATCTAATCGTTTATCCAAATGTTTATTATCAGAGCGTATAGAAATAAAAGAAACATCAATTACTAAATATTACTTCAATTAAATTTTTGTAAAGTCATGTTTTTAATAAATTTGCGACAAATAGAGTACTTTACCACAATTCTTGGATCCACGACCTTTGATACGAAGGTCGTCATAATTGCATTTCTCACGCAAAACATTCATTCAGAAAAACATAGACTTATTTCATAAGTATATACTATTGTTTAAAATAGAAACAAATGACAAAGTATTTGTTACAACAATTTCTTGGACGAAACTGCACGCAAAATAATTAAAATATGTGCTAAATAACGATCGAATGCGAAAATGAATTTACATTTTTAAGTTGGGCAATTATTTGTATTATTTTTAATGCTTTTGATCACAACTAATAAATTTTTTGAACAAAAAGGTTAAGAAGTAAAAAATTTATACTGCGACTATGGAAAAAGTTATAAAACACCAAAGTACATTTTTGTATATACCATGAAATATTATAGTCTGTGTTTTGTCCGTAATTATATATAATTAGTTACAAGCATTATAGTTAATAATAATTTTGTTTTATCTGTACTACTTCAACCATGTTGCGCATTTACCTTTTTGTAGCTATTTTTACTTTCGGGACATATATATATTTTTTATGGCTAATTTTTTAAAAATTTACAATTGAAGGAAATATTCGTATTGCATACTTAAATAAAATATTAATTACGAATAGAAAAGTTGCCAATTTAACAATTTTGAAAAAAATATTTAAAAATGAATATAGCTAACGGACAGAAAAATCATAGACAAGTTTCCGCATGAACTTTTTGAGAAACAAAGCCAATAATAAATTTTCTCTTAATAATAATATAAACCCCTACAAGTTTTAATTTTAATTAATATTTTTAATTTTTTCAACGAATGTACTGCTACATACATACTGTTTACTATTTATTATCTACTAACCTATTGAAATACCATTATAATAGTTATCAGTAAATTATTCATTTGAAGTTGCTAAATTTGAAACGACATTGACATAAAAATGCAAAAAATAGATAAAAACTGATTTAAAATTAATAATATAGAGCTTTGTTCTTGCAACCAATATATTTGAAATCAAACAGCAAATATATTGATAAAAATATAGCTTTCATTATAGATGCCTAATAATAATCTCAGCGTAAAAATAATGGACAACCACTGGGTTGCCTTTTCTATTAATGCTACGTTATAAAAAAAATATTATTTAAACAGTTCAACAAAATAGTTCTGATCAAGAAATTGAACCCAATTAAATTAAAAAAATAAACAATTAATATTTTGGAATAATAAAGTCAACACAAAACTTTGCAGAACAACGTTGCACAAAAAGCAGTTTCACGAGATCTAGACTAGTTTGATTTGAACTTTTTTTTAAATATTAGGCATAAAAATATAGAAAATTTATAAAATAAATAATAATGACAATAACTCTTCGGAATTATTTTTAAATCGTCAATATTAAGCAATGTTTGTGCAGATTCAACCATGTCATGTCGTATTGCTCAAATGCGGGCGTTGCTTCAGGTTGCATTTATTATGTCACAACCATAATTGATAGTTAATGTTGCCGATACCAGCATGAAATTATGACAAATACTTCAATTATATACATTATCTAATTACCTTAGCCTTTTAAAATGTATATTTGTTTATAAATATAAAATTATATATTGATATATCTGTCTCAATAGGCGGACAAGTTACTTGGAAACATTTCTGTTTATATTTTCAAGTGGAAACCGATGTCACTGCTACTTGACATCAGGCTGTCCGAAGCGAGTATCGAATGAGCTATGAGAAATCCATAGCTCTGACTAGTCCCCGGAAAAGTGTTGACTTTACCATACTGATATTTACTATTTTTGAATCCGTCGTATGGATAACATAGTTAATCAATTATCTATAGATGTTTCCGGGTACTAGAATCTCAAAATGTTTCAATTAACCATATTAACCTGTGCAACAACAACGTACAAAATCCGAATCTCATACATTGCATGCAAATGTGATTCACAATGATACTTATTATGATCCACGTTTAGGTGCGGTCAGAATATAATTAAAATTTAAAATTGCACTGACAAAGCTACTTCGGACGAATTCATTTTCATTGAGTATGATATACTGGAATACATCATTGGACCCTTCAATAAGATCCGCACTAGTGGTAAAAGATATTTAAAAAATCAATCAAAAGGTCTCAAAAGAAACTGTGCAATTATATGATTACGAAAATCACCATGCTGCCGTTTCATTCAGATTATTAATATTTTTGTACTACTCTATTTTATTTTACATTCGATTTATTGCATATTTTTTAGATTCTATTATTTCTCGCCTATTCATTTTGTATATTGAGACTGTTTCAGTTTCAAAAATCGTTACAATAAAAAAAAAAAAAACACTTTCGACTATATTTTACCAAACTTTCGATTATAAGTAGTTTTTCGTAAATCGTGAATTATTTAATGATTTTTTATTCAATACATTTTAGTACGTTTCTGTGCAATTCATAGCATACAATATAGTAAGTAGCAAAAAGATCGAATTGTATTGATCATTGTTATGCACAACAATTGTGAATGTTTTCTGTGGGAAAATTATAAACGCTAACGACCAAAATAAAATCCGCAGAATATGCGAATAAAAGTTCTGAGAATTCACAAAGCGATCAGAACTTTTGTTATAGCTCTATATATGAGCTGTTGTAATGTGATGTAAAATCTAAAATTATTAGAAGGCAATCCGATCATAATATATATTACAGCTATGCCTTGAAAGGCTATTTTTACTTTAACCCATATTTAGATCTACACTTCAAATAGTAACCGATATCACTACTGTTTGAAATCAAGCTGTCCACAGACGGTAATTAAACCTAGAACTGAGGTTCCAAATGATTAAATGTTTTTCGTAGAAACAAGAAACTTTAATTCATATTTTTGCAGTACATATACATCTATGTAATTGAATCCATTTTTTTTAAAAAGTTTTCGGTATATGGGTAAATCTTTAGAAAATTCGTTAAAAAATAAACAAAAATCCGCTTGAACATTATAATTTGTTCCCATCACATACATAAACTGAGTAAATATGTGTATGTAAATTATATTAAAATAAAAGAAGTAATTTTTGTATGATATATTTATTTAAATTCAATTTATTTCTAAACGTAACAATATTTTTTGAATGTTGCAAAAGAAAATTTATAATTACATAAATAAATGTAATACATTAAAATAAAATGGATTGAATCCAAAGTTACAGTAACAGGAGATAAAACTTATTAGATAAATTCAATATCTATTACTATTTTTAATATACTGATAAAACGTTAAAATTAGTTTCTTTCTATTGAATTTTATGATAATTCAAATATTTAAATTTAATCTTTATTTTTTCTTTCAATATATTATTGAATAAATGTTTTAAATAATTGAGAATAAAATAATAATAAAATTTTCATTGAACAATATAAAGAGCCCGATAAATTCGTTTCAATAATATTGAACTACTGGGCATACTCACATGTTAACCTTTATAATTAATAAAATAAAACTTACTTAAAATACATACAACTATAGTTAATTAAAAATTTATATTACAAAATCACAAATCATAGGAATATTTACAATCCGTTTGTCTCTAAGCCATATATATCATTTACATCATAATTACAAAGCCATATTATGCCTTCTTCCTCCTTTAATACGAGTCACTATAGCACAAATTTTTAGAGCTGGCCCAAGCTTAAGTCCCATGTATTTCATCATCATATCGGAATTTAATAGCAGCAAGGCTTTACCATCAATTTCATGTTTACGAAACAGGTCAGCATGTACTGCTAAGGCTGGGTCAGTAGCCGCTATATGATTTATAACATCTTCGATGCTCCATTCGCTTGTTGGAGTTTTTGGTTGCACAACTGGTTGAACCAAAGAGACTAGTTGACCGCTTTCACTAGAAGTTGTTGATGTCGGTGCTTCTGTTTCAGTCAACACTGGTTTTTTAACAGGAGGGCTTGAACTACATGTAGGGCTTTCTGGTTTAATAGGTCTTTTCAAAGTTTCCTTTGAATCAATTTCTGAATGTCCAATCGGCGTGCATTTAGCACAATCTCCTACTAAAGTCTCAATTCGTAGAAGATTAGTACATGCTCCTAATGATTTACATAGATTTTCTAGATACTGTGATAATTCAGTAAGTTTATCAATATCTTGTAATTTAATTGTATAAGTTTTTGAGTCCACTGTTAATATAGATTCATCACCATGTAACACAGTGTTAAAAAGATTTATTAATTGCCTGCTCTCGACACTTGCATGGATTAAACCTTGTAGACATAACTTAATTACATTACGAATAGATGTTGCTGTGTATGTTGGTTCTAAATGATTAGCTGAAAAAAAAGAAACAATATTATTTAATGCAAAATCTGATTGCATTAAAACATTCACTTGTGTGAAAATGAAGAAATAAAAATACACAACATTGAACACATTTTAATTTGGAAAATAATCAAACCTGTTATTAGTGGACCACCGTTACAGCTTTTATGAACATAAATATTAATCGGCATTTGATTCACAGATGTGTCAGGCTCTAGGACACTTATGGTCATTCTCGGCTTAAATCTGGAGGTTCCTTGTGGTGTCTTCTGTCCTGGAGGCTGCATAGGGTGTCCAGACTTAGCACACCATCCCACAGGAAAAATATCACGAGAATCATATCTGCACCAATAATCGAATGCTCCTCTCCATCCATCAAATGTGACATGTATCTGGTCTTGTTTTACTGCACCTACTGTCGCAGTGCATATCAATTGAGGATTCTTCTTGTCAACGGCTTCTAATTTCTGACCAACTTGAAAAAGATTACCAGGAGGTGATGGAGGTTCTTTTTGAAATATTTTGCTTGGTGCCATTTCAGCACCATTGAGTGTTTTGAGTAAAAACATTGGCCAACTACTTGCATTCATTCGAAATCCAAGTGGTGGTTGTAACATTCCACCAGACTTTTCACAATGGCCTATCGGATGAATTTCACCAGAATCAACTAGCCTCCAAAAGTCATTTTTGTTGTCACTGCCATCTAATCGCAAACGCAATCTTGGCCCTAAAACATTTATCACTGTGCCAATGCATGTAGATGTTAAATTTCTGGGATCTAAAGCTTCTAGTTTCATGTTAGGTTTAAAATCATTATGAGGAGGTACAAGTGCTTGCTTAAAACATTCCTGGGGTGCTGCTTCACTACCTGTTTCACGCAGGTACTCACTCCAATCAAAAGTCTGAAATGATTCATACTGAAATGGCCCAGCCGAGGGAGGTAACACATTTGATACAGATTCTGTGTTATTTAAATGAGTACTCGTAACGGGTAAATTTATGAGATTCTTATCATTCTTTTTTTGATATTTGTTCATACAAAAGGTAGAACAAAACTCTCGACTGGTAGATGAGTTTCCTCGGATTACATTATCACATTGTAGGCAGGCTCCCTTGCTATAAGCCTTCCTGAATTCTGCAATGCAGGTCTCCGAGCAAAATTCCTTTTTCCCATTTTGTGTGGGAAATACATATTTTAATGGTAATTTGCTTTCACCGCACCATGTACACGCCGATGCACCTTTTTTAGACGGCCGGCCGGGTCCCCGAATTTTTGATAAACTCGGACTGCTGACATTTGTTGATCCAGCTGTTGTCATTTTATTTTGTTGATGATATTTCACATCCTAAAACACAGATTTATAAATTCTTTCTTATAAATCCATAGCTCTGAAGGCTTATGTTGTAAAATACATTATATAACAAGTCATTAAAACCGTTTATTCGAATTAATATTATAGTATCAGTTTTATCAACAAATTTTCAGAAAGCTTGATTTTTTTTTGACGCCATCAGCGACATTTCTCGAAAACCAAAATAGTACGCAAAAGGATAATATCTATTTGATACAAGATGGCAACACGAATTCAAATCGGTTAAGCATGAAATTCAAATATTAAAAATCACTCTTTTATTTTAATATTACGCCAAGGTTATTATTTTAATTATCTCAACATTTTCTTAATTAATTATTTATATATTTAATACAATGTTAGAGAAAAAACGAAATCGTAAACGTTAACAAAAACTCAAAAACTCTTGATTTTTGGATAGTGGTGCTAGAGAAAATAAAATGGATGGATGGATCCGCAAGGTAACAACTCTATTGGATTTTATTGTAAAAGGTATTTGATCTAATTTATATATCTTAAATTAAATTAAATTATTTAGGTATTGCATTGCATGCATTAATTAAGATATATTACAAAATTGAAGAACATTGTGACGACCGAAATATCGAAGAAGAAAGCAAATATTGGACGATTTAAGTAAGAAGAGAATATAAAGACAAGTGAAAGGAATATGAATATAATTATATCATATATATAATTTATTTATTAAATTAACGTTCTCTTTGCCAGGCATCGAATACACTTTATTATACAAAGTGTCAATGTACGTCGCTAGTAGTACTGTTTAGTAAAAGGGTCATGTCTAAATACTAAAATCGCGTCTAATCTTTGCTCTTCAATATGTCACGGCGGTGAAGACGGTTTGACAATGAAGTATTATTTTAACGGTCATTCTAATTATTTTATTTATTTTTAAAAAATATATGTGAAATGGCAAGATCTAAGAAGGCTCCTGAAAAATCAAACAGCACCGCACCGCATAATTCAATAGTTCGAAAAAGACGCCGTAAAAATGCATGGTTAAGAGAAATAAAAAAATTACAAAGATCCACGAAATTGCTTATTCCGAAGGCCGCTTTCTGCAGAGTTGTTAAAGAAACACTACAAATATTAGGAGCAAATGACATAAGATTTTCAGTAACAGCTATTGAGGCTTTACATGAATCTGTTGAAATCTATATGACACAATTCTTCGAAGACTCTTTTTTATGCACTGCTCACCGAAGCAGAGTTACTTTGATGCCCATTGACATGCAATTGTGCAGACGTCTTCGAGGATTAGGAGATGTTATAAATTAGTTTTAAGAAATGAGAGATGCTATTTTTAACAATTTGTATATGTTATTATTAATTTTATACTTCTTGGTTCCATCGAAGAGTTAAACTGTAACTTTTATAAAAGTGTATTAAATAAAATCAAACTTGTTTATAATAAATGTTTTAATAAATATAATAAAAATACTGGGATAGTTTCAATACTACTAAAGTTAATTTAATAGTTTAAGGAACACATTTTCATATTACTAATATTAAAACTATGTGGATAACTGGAATAATCACAATCATAATAGAATTAAATGATTTTGGTAAAAATAAGTATCACATTCAATTTATCATTTTGAAAGTTTTACTCAATATAAAAGCAAAATTTTGATTGTATCAAATGCCTTAATGATAATTTATATATTTAGTCTCACACTTTATCAGCTAATACTCGAGAAAATTAAACTATATTATCATAATTTTGGTTATTGTACCTATATCATGTATTTATTACTCCAACATTAATTACTTTTGAAAATATCGTTGCAAAACGTAATCATTAATTCTAGTATTAAAATTTCTTGTGTTAAATTTGTTACTTGGTTTGTGATTGCAATCAACGTTGGTGCAAACACTGTACTTAAATTATGAGCAGTCATTTTATTTATATCAGACTTTGTAGTTACCCTGAAACATTCAAAATTATATATTATAACATAAAATATCTATTTAAATAATATGAATTCGTTCATGGGAATGGCATACCTATATAAATGCCTTATCATGTATTTCAACGTATTGAAGTGAGCCACTGGTAATTTATTTAAAGCTGCTAATATAACAGACACACATTCATGTGAATCTTTTATTTCTGTAATATTAATTATAACATTAATAGTTTTAACTAGTCATCAGCTATCCAATTATTCTGATTGTTTGCAAGCTGGCGATACTTACCAGTAGCTTTTATTAGATCTGGGTGCGCACTGAATGTTATTAAAGGAACAGGTAGTAGTCTTAAGTATAATTTTAATGTTCCCGCTACAACATTAACGTTATACTTGCTTATATCAATTACTTCACCACCTATATTTTATCAATACATTTACTAGACATAAAAATAAAGCTATTTATTGCATTTTATTACCTGTATCTAAGGCACATTTTAACATATCAATTTCATCTTGAAACCCAGATACTCTGTAAATACCTTCTTGATCTAATCCTCTTTTTTCTATTTCTTCTGCACATCTACAATAGATTCATTAATTAAATTTTCAAATAAAAAATCAAATGCAAATAATAATATTTACTTTAGAACTATAAAAGGCAAGGCTTCTGATCTTGCATTTAATAATGTTGTTAAATCAGTTCCAAATACTCCTCGAATTGATTTCAAATCTGGACTACAGTCATTTGGAACATGTTCTGAACATTTTGAATGAGCAACAAATCCACAATCTATAAATTATATCGCATTACGCTAAGTGGTTATCAAAATTATATATAATTCTTGCTATATTAATTATAACACCTTCACATTTGACACCTTGAACAATAAACCCCCATAAAAAATTTGCACATAGTTCGCACCAATTTAAGCCTTTAAAAGTGTGAACTTTAAAACTATGAGGTTTGCAATATGATACCTACTTAATGAAATATAAGTTAAATATGCAGTTTTAAATTTATAACACAATTATATAAATCATTATTACCGGCTCATTTATTTTATCTTTACTAGCCTGGGATTTACAAACTTCATCAGCTTTCACATCCAATATATTAGTTTTTCTACAATAATTATTTTGAAATTATAAAAACATTGTATGCGTGAAGATCACATGTCTATGTGTATAAAGCTTTTTAGTTCACTTACTCTTTTAACAACTTTAATTTTCGTTTATTTAGAGTCATGTATGGGCTTTCTTTATAAGATAAGCATTCATGCATTGTTGGAATAACATGTCTCGCATGAATTTCCATATGCATGGCTATCAATCCATCTGCTACAAGATCATGTATACTTTCATAAGGAACATCTTTTCTTATAAAATGCATTCCATTTTGGTAGTATAATTTATAGTTATGAATTCGTCCTTCAAACCTGTAATTGATAATTAACTTTAATGAAAGGTATATCAAAACCTTTTTATTTTACCCCGAAAGTAAAGCTTAAAAATAAATTTCTAGCAAAAGTTTTTCTTTGAAGTTTTCTGACATACACCACAGTCAATGTATAAAAATCATTGCAATTGGATCCCCTTCGTATTAAATATGTGCCATCAACACTATCATGGAGCAACTTATTGGCCTCCTGGTGACCCATAATACCATGATATTCATATCCATAAAAATTTGGTGCCCCTAATTCTAAATCATTTGTTCGAAATAAAGCATTGGGAATGGGAGCAGATAATTGTAACTGATATACTGAAATGAATAAATAGTATGAATTTGAATAATAGAAACTGAAATGATAAAACTAGGCATTACATTCAGGTTTCCATATTAAGGGTTTATCAGAAGTCAAATCTAAACTTGTCGTGCTCATTTTAAATTTAAATTATGTATATTTTCCTATAATGTGGTACTTTTCCCTAAAGTTAATCATAATGCTGGATTTAAATTTAGGAAAACGTAAATTGAAATAAATTCAGAACACAATAAATAATAAATGTCAAAAATAATTCCAAAATCTTCCGTTTGGCATAGTGGCGCAAAGTGCTGCTATATCCTGTCTTTATGATTATCTATGGCATTTGTCATGAGTTTCTAATCTCACTTATTTATTTATGTTCTCTTTTGAACACAGGAAAAGAACAAAATCTCTTTCTTATTTTCGCTTGTAGTCGCTTGCTCACGTTTCGTGTCACTAAGGACTTAAAAGTAAGTAAATATATTTGTTATTATCGTGTTTTGTGGAAATATGTTTTTGATTACTTCAGTTAATGTTACCTTGTTATCCTAGTAATAAAATAATGGTAATATTTTTTGTACATGTGCCGATGCATTGAGATTCTCAGATATTAGTGTTCGTGAATTTCAAGGCGCGCTTTATTTTTTCAATTATATTTAAGTACTGTTTTATTATTATCAATACCGTTTATATAATTACATTCTTGCATTTAATATTCAAGACTTCCTACCTTTGTCGATTGTTCATGCACACTTATGTACTCTGCACATTTGTCTAAACTTAACCTATATTTTGCATTTTTCACAGAATGCGTTACGTGGCTGCGTATTTGTTGGCTGTTTTGGGAGGCAAAGCCGCCCCGACCTCCGGAGACATCGAGAAAATCCTGAGCTCTGTTGGTATTGAAGCCGATGCTGAACGTTTAAAGAAAGTCATAAGTGAGCTCAATGGCAAGAGCATCGATGAACTCATTGAACAAGGTATAGAATTAACAGCCTCTTACCAATTTACATTTGTCTTACCACATACAATTGTCAGTTAACGTTTTGTATGATGATTTATCCTATACCATCTTTCGCCTGAGTGCTAGTGATGCTTACTTTTCACTGATTTCAGTTTTATTGTTGATAGGAATCTATTCAACTGGGCATAGTATTAATAATTGTATTTGTTATAGGTCGGGAGAAGCTTTCCTCCATGCCAGTAGGTGGTGGTGGTGCACCAGCTGCAGCTGCTGCTGGCGGCGCCCCTGCGGCTGCTGAAGAAAAGAAAGGTAAATATTGCAATCTGGGCCGTTGAATTTTGATATTACATGATGTTTACTATTATACCATCTTTCGACTGATGCTTTGTGCTGTTAAATCTTTATCTGATGCATTTTAAAAGATGCAAACATATGATATATGAAGAACCAGTGGTAAAACTTTTTTTTTTACAGAAGAGAAAAAAGAGGCCAAAAAGGAAGAATCAGAGTCTGAGGACGATATGGGTTTCGGTCTCTTTGACTAAGGAATACGTATGCCTTACGTATAATGAAATTATAAATTTAAATGTAACATATGCATAAGAAATAAAGTGATTTCATTTATATTCCTTTGTTTTATTATTATCAATACCGTTTATATAATTATCAAAACAATATAAATATTGTTACTTAGCTATTCTATTAATTTAATTTAATTACACAATAAAATTATGTTCAAATTTAAATCTGAAAAATTTAAGGAAATAGGTATCTCGCAATGTTTTACAAGTTAAAGTAAATATGGTAACAAAATGTTTGTGAACTGAAATGCTACTTAAGCAAATTTAATAAATTAAAAAGTGCAAATAAGTTATGAATCAAAACCTTAGCTAAAATTTGTATAATTTAAATATCAAGCTTGAAATGCTTGACAAATGTTCATAATGATTTATTTATTAATTCATAAGCAAGCCGTAATCATTAATAATAATATTTCAGGCTCTTGTATGATTTTATTTGATAAAATTGTGTTGATTATATCTGATAAAAAGTAATACATATAAATATATAGTTTAATATAGTATGCAAAATATCAATGAAAATATGATATATGAATTAACGTAAAATGTATAAAAAATTAAGATTTGGTTTGAAACTGTCATACATCGATCGGAGCCTGATGATAAAAGTGGCACAAACGCATGGATTACCAGAGTGTGCCAATGGTAATTTTCTCTACTGTTTGAATTTTACGAATCTGTTCATGTGGCATCCGCCGTAAAAAATATATTCGTTAATAAAATAATTGCATTTGAAACAATTTAATCTAATTATACTATTAATTTTGCAATTTCATTTCGTATTGCCTATGCAATTGTTCTTTCGATTAAATTCAGATAAGCCCGTAGAAAAACATTGCGCACTAATATGGCACTACTTTTTTCTTACATGTCGCCATGATGGGTGGCAGTATCAGTCATCGCAGAAGACGGTTCGGCAAAACATAATTGTTTTAGTTTTTATCTTTTAATATAGCAGTTTTATTCGCATTGCATGGACAGAAAGTAATTATTTAAGGCAGTGAGTTTCCAACAAGCTATTACGATGACGCAAATGCTACCTATAAGGTTTCAGGAGCATTTACAGGTATTTACTAGGCTAATGCAGTTGTAATATACCGCTTTGTGCTTACGTTGACTTATATTGATAATGTTTATATGCTGGTCTATTATTGATTTTTTATCTAACCTAGATGTAATCAATTTTTGGTGACCTAAATTTTCTCATTCAACGGTAAACTTAAATGTCACTTTACTTTGTGCAATTTGACTTTTATCTAGTTGACAGATGACGCCTAACGCCCCCTCAAAATGGCATTCTCGTCGTGACTCACTTGATAATATTTGTAAAAAATCAATGATTCTAATTGATAACTGTTTATCATATAGGTTTATTGTTGCACACTTCTTGTTTTAGCGTTTGTTTAAAATTTGCAATAATTTAAATTCTGATAACTTTCGTTTCATGCGGAGCAATGTACAACGCCCGGCTTTTATTGCGCTTAAATTCTATATTTCTTTAATATCATATTAAAAAAATACTTATGCCATTAAAAATACATCATTTAATATTTTCTGGTAATATTTTTTGTGAATCGCTTTCAGAATTCAAAACGATATGTCGAGCTAAAATGTGTTAATGTGTAATATATAATTATTTCTTTTAACTTTTAATATAAAATTATCGTTGCATAGTAAATTTCTATTACATGCTCTTTTTATTGCTATTTGATGGTACGATATATGATTAATACTATTGCCTATATAACCCTGTATATATTTCAAATGCAGTTTAAGATCCATCAATGAATCTCTAAATCCGTTATGAGTATATATACATATAATATATACGTTACTACGTAACAAGCGTATAAAATAAATCCATTGACTGCTTACTTGACACCTTAATTTAATAATGAAAGGGTCCATTGTGCGTTTTATTGTTCAATATAGCTGCGATTCTTATTTCGAAATAGGTTTGCGAACTTTTGCGATAAAAGCGAAGATTAATAGAAAAGTATATTTATAATAAATAACACTTTGTCTTGGTGCAGTTCAACATCCTGTCATGATGCCAGACAATTTATGATTATGAGTAAAATGTTCTATTTTTAAAAATATTTGTTTGCAATTTACTTATCTGGGATAAAAAAATAACCAGAACTGATTTTCATACAACGCTCTCAGAATGCGAGAAAAATTTTAAATGGAATCATTTGCGTTTTTTTTTTATATATTACTGCTGCAATACTATTGTAAATTCTGTCATTTTACGCAATTTTTCTTTATTCTGATTGAAAATTCAATTTTATTTAACATTAAAATTTGATCAAAATATCTATATTTCTTATAATTTACTTAAATGATTAATACTTGAAATGTTTTACGTATTGTTTAAACTCTTGTAAAATTGTTAAAATAACATCTAGCTAAAATCCTTATTTCATTTAACTTATATGGTATGCAATAATAAGTAATGGAAAAAAAAATTCAGCAAGTCTTTTTGTATATTTAGCAATTGTTCTAAGTTATCTTAGATCAGTATCTTATTTGAAACCAATCTCCAATCCATTTATCACTTTTTTTTTAAATATAAGTGAATACAATTATAATTTACTTTCAACATTACAATATAATTTTTATTGATTAGAAGTGGATGAGATGATCAGACTTTTAAGAAACCGACTGTCCGTTTTATTTATTAATTTTGCACAATTTTTGGGTCTTTTAATATTTTAGTGACCTCAGGCTCTGTATTTGGAATGATTTGAATTTAATATTAAAGATACCAGAAGATTCATAGTTTACGTATAATTTATTATTTTTACATTTTATCTGCATTTCTCGCAATTTTACCTAATTAAGATAATGTATTATCTGTTAAAATTAATTAGTCTTATTTGGTTTCAAATTATGTGTATATTTTACACTTGCAATATTTACGACACGTTTTCTTATTTCACGCCCTGATTAAGGCAAAACATACTAATATGTTTGCATTGTTTTATACTTTTATATATATTAGTATTTTCACGGTATCATTATTTTTCCCATGTGTTTCGGCATATAATTCTGCCATATTCAGTGGTCTGAGGCTTCTGTAATAGTTTTTCTTGGATGGGCCATTTTGATACTCGTATATTCATAAAAGCTGCCCCCTGTTTCAAATCAACTTTGCTTTTGTTTATATTACCACTGAATATGATTAAAGATTATTTGTCCGAACGTATGGGAGCAATAAATACACCGTACAGAATTTTTCCTTCTTATTTGATATACTGTCCTGAAGAACTTAGTACACATATTTCAATATCAATCATCAATTATATAAATATGCATGAAAGAACTAAAACTTGATGCATTTATCATATTTTTAATATCAATTAGAAATTACTAGCAGGATTTCAGAAGCATGAACTAGAAACATATTTAAATATAAAAATACCAAGTAAAATTACGTTATTTATTAGTAAAATAAATATTTAAGTAGTGTCTCGACTTTATGGGCGTCTGTATATTTATCAACCTTTTGTATATGCATGCAGCTGTAGTGTTTGATAACTATTTTTAAAATCCTGCATATCATTATTCGACTCATTCACTTAAATTTCGTGAATAGATAACAGTTACCATAATAGTATTAAATTATATTTTAAAATGCTTTTGTATGCGGAAAAAGAAACTTATTTAATAGTATTTATATCAAATTTTGGATTTCAAATCGTGCGGCTTGATGCTTATTAACATATTTTTCTAACATAAAAAACATTTTTGTTTAGTAATTTTTTTTATTAATTTTTACTAAGTTTGACTAGATGTGATTGATTAATTTAATTTTACGGGCTTTTGATGAAATCATAAATTTAAATTTTCTATTAGAGATACCTTTATGTACTAATTTGATCGAGTATTATATTGTTTGACTTTATTAGCAAATTTATTTAATGTTAATATCAACAGTTCACTCTAATAATGATCTAACTCAAAAACCTTTTTGAATGTTACTATTTTTTTTTTTTTTCAAAATTCGGGTTTCTAATTTGTTTTTATTTTCAATATCAATTTTAAAATATTTTTTTATAGCAATTGTTTTAATGAATACGAAAAAAATAGAACAAAATACATATGTTATTCATTGCAAGTTTTATATTGTACAATATTGTTCTTTAAAGCAGAAAACTCATGTATTTTTTATATAAAGTATTTTACTGGTAATTGTTTTTATTTATTTATGATACTATGTGTATGATAGATATTTACACTTTCTCAGGAAATGTTTCAAATAATCAGTATTTCTTATAATAAATAATTTTAACCCTTTGACCCGTATACCGCCGCTCCGGCGGCAAAATTCATATAAATCTCGGAATTCGCGAGTGGAAAGCGTTAATAAATACAATATAATAAGAAAACTTACATTCTTATAATAATGATTTTAATTTTAAATCAATGAATTAATAGCATTATGATTAAAATAGTACTTATTTAATAAATCATATGTATTTTTTCAGCTCACAAATGTGGGCATCAGCGCGACGTCGGTCTCCTTCAACACCCTCACCATGGAGTCCGACAAATTCATCTGCGTCCGTGAAAAGGTTGGCGAGACCGCCCAGGTTGTCATCATCGATATGAATGATGCAAATAATCCTATCAGAAGACCCATCAGTGCGGATTCTGCTATTATGAATCCTGCTAGCAAAGTTATTGCATTGAAAGGAAAAGCTGGCGTTGAAGGTAAATCTAAATGATGATTTAGAACCTGATCTTTTTGTATATTACGAAAACTAAAGATTAATTTAACATTCTAGCCCAAAAGACTCTTCAGATCTTCAATATTGAAATGAAATCAAAAATGAAAGCACACACAATGTCTGAAGATGTCGTATTCTGGAAATGGATTTCATTGAATACTCTTGCTCTTGTTACCGAGACATCTGTATTCCACTGGTCCATGGAAGGAGACTCAACACCAGTAAAAATGTTTGACAGACACTCTTCACTCAATGGTTGTCAAATAATAAATTATCGTACAGATCCTAAACAGGCTTGGCTTTTGCTAGTTGGTATGTGATTTTTTCCATTTAAAATCATATGATTGTTTCATAGTTTCGTGATTATATTTATTTTTATTTCAGGTATATCTGCACAACAAAATCGTGTAGTAGGAGCTATGCAATTGTATTCAGTTGAGAGAAAGTGCTCACAACCTATTGAAGGACATGCAGCGTCATTTGCCACTTTTAAAATGGAGGGTAATGCTGAACCTAGTACCCTGTTTTGTTTTGCTGTCCGCACAGTCCAAGGGGGAAAATTACACATAATCGGTTAGTTTCATTAATAAAATTAATTACTACAGTGGAACTTGTGCATAAATATATTTTGTTGTGAATGTTTAGAGGTTGGGCAGGCACCACAAGGAAATCAGCCTTTTGCTAAAAAAGCTGTTGATGTATTTTTCCCTCCAGAAGCACAAAATGACTTTCCTGTAGCAATGCAGGTAATTATTATTTATTAATACTTAAAATAGTACATAGTTAGTTCTACATATTTGCATAATTTGTTTTTTCAACAATTATTTAGGTTTCTTCTAAGTATGATGTGATTTATCTTATTACAAAGTATGGCTATATACACATGTATGATATTGAAACTGCCACATGCATTTACATGAATCGAATCTCAAGCGATACAATATTTGTCACAGCTCCTCATGAAGCCAGTGGTGGTATAATTGGTATGTTATCCAAAAAATTTTATATAAATAAAATGGTATTTTTCTGTTTATGTTTAATTAATAATTTTTTTTTTTTTTGTGCAGGAGTGAATCGTAAAGGGCAAGTTCTATCAGTAACAGTAGAGGAGGATAATATAATCCCTTATATCAACTCAGTGTTACAAAATCCAGATCTTGCTTTAAGAATGGCTGTTCGAAATAATCTAGCTGGCGCTGAAGATTTATTTGTGAGAAAGTTCAATTTGCTGTTTCAAAATGGACAATATGGAGAAGCCGCAAAGGTATTTAAATAAAATAATATTCAAAATGTTCATAACATACTAATCCTATAGACATGATCTTTAATCTAGTATTATAAATTATTTTTAGGTTGCTGCTAATGCTCCAAAGGGTATTTTGCGTACACCACAAACAATTCAAAGATTTCAGCAAGTGCCAACAACTGCTGGACAAACATCTCCATTATTGCAATATTTCAGTATTCTGTTAGATCAGGGTCAATTAAATCGATATGAATCACTTGAACTTTGTCGGCCTGTTTTAATACAAGGTTTTATTTCTTTAACTTCATTTTTTAAATAATATGATATATGAAATATATATATCTTTTTAATGTGTGTATTGTTATGCAGGACGAAAAGTACTTTTGGAAAAATGGTTGAAGGAAGACAAACTGGAATGCTCTGAAGAACTTGGTGATCTATTTAAGCAAGCTGATGAAAGTAATGCAACTCTTGCTTTATCAGTTTATTTGCGAGCAAATGTACCAAGTAAAGTAATTCAATGTTTTGCTGAAACTGGACAATTCCAAAAGATAGTCTTATATGCCAAAAAGGTAAATTCTCAGTTGAATATATTTTAAATAAAGTTAAATGATTCATTAAATTACTTTTTTTTTTTCAGGTATCTTACACTCCTGACTACATTTTGTTATTGAGAAGCGTGATGAGAACAAATCCAGATCAAGGTGCTGAGTTTGCCAGCATGCTTGTAGCTGATGAAGAACCGTTGGCTGATATTAACCAAATAGTTGATATATTCATGGAGCAAAACATGGTTCAACAATGCACATCGTTCTTGCTGGACGTTTTGAAAAATAATAGGCCTACAGAAGGTCCATTGCAAACTAGGTATGTTATTTGCGTTTAAAAACTCTTTATCATTATTTTCACTACTATTTATCATAGGTTATTGGAAATGAATCTTGTCAAAGCTCCACAAGTAGCTGATGCAATTTTGGGAAATGCTATGTTTACTCATTATGACAGAGCGCATGTTGCACAGCTCTGTGAAAAGGCTGGATTATTACAAAGAGCTCTTGAACATTACACTGATTTGTATGATATCAAACGAGCAGTTGTCCACACACATCTACTATCAGCTGATTGGTTAGTAGGATTTTTTGGAACTTTATCAGTAGAAGATTCTTTGGAGTGTTTGAAAGCCATGCTGACAGCTAACATTCGTCAAAATCTGCAAATATGTGTCCAAATCGCAACCAAATATCATGAACAATTAACCACAAAGGCATTAATTGACTTATTCGAAGGTTTTAAGAGCTATGAGGGATTGTTCTATTTCTTAGGATCAATAGTTAACTTTAGCCAAGACCAAGAAGTACATTTCAAATATATTCAAGCTGCTTGCAAGACAGGACAAATAAAAGAAGTTGAAAGAATTTGCAGAGAAAGTAATTGCTACAATGCAGAAAGAGTTAAAAACTTCTTAAAAGAGGCTAAATTAACTGATCAACTTCCACTGATCATTGTTTGTGATCGTTTTGACTTTGTGCATGATTTGGTCTTGTACTTGTACAGAAATTCTTTACAAAAATATATTGAGATCTATGTGCAGAAGGTAAATCCCTCCCGGTTGCCAGTTGTTGTTGGTGGACTTTTGGATGTAGATTGCTCTGAGGATATCATTAAGAATTTGATTCTGGTAGTACGTGGACAGTTTTCTACTGATGAACTTGTTGAGGAAGTGGAGAAGAGAAACAGGTATTTTATACTATTTATAAATTTTCACTATAGTTAATTAATATATAATATTTATAAATACAGGTTAAAGCTTTTGCTGCCATGGCTCGAATCTAGGGTGCATGAAGGATGCGTTGAACCAGCCACTCATAATGCTCTTGCTAAAATTTACATTGATAGCAATAACAATCCTGAAAGATTCCTTAAAGAAAATCAATGGTAATTTAATTATAATGGATACAAATAATTCTATCTTGCAAAAAAAAAAACCTTTTTTTTTATTTTTTTAATTAGGTATGACAGCAGAGTTGTTGGTAGATATTGTGAAAAGCGTGACCCGCACCTTGCATGTGTAGCTTATGAGCGTGGCCAATGTGATCGGGAATTGATCGCTGTTTGTAATGAAAATTCATTGTTCAAATCCGAAGCGCGATATTTGGTGAGAAGACGTGAACCAGAATTGTGGGCTGAAGTGTTATCAGAGGAAAATCCTTACAAACGACCATTGATTGATCAGGTAAATAAAATAAGATAAAGATTATTTATTTTTATGTGTTATTCAAGACTAAATGTTTTTCTTTTTGTTGTTGTAGGTAGTGCAAACTGCTCTCTCAGAAACACAGGATCCTGAAGATATTTCAGTAACAGTGAAAGCTTTCATGACTGCCGACTTACCAAATGAACTCATTGAGCTCTTAGAAAAAATTGTATTGGACAGTTCAGTATTTTCTGACCATAGGAATTTACAGAATCTACTTATTTTAACAGGTAATTGTTTAAGCAACTGTCTTGATAACTGCTTGTTTTCTCTATATATATATTTCTTTGCTTTGTGTTGAAAATGTATTTAAAATTTGGTTACTAAGATTTACTAAAACTATTGTTATACATTTAGCGATCAAAGCCGATAGAACAAGAGTGATGGATTACATCAATCGCTTGGATAATTATGACGCGCCTGATATCGCAAACATCGCAATTAACAATCAGTTATATGAAGAAGCTTTTGCTATATTTAAGAAGTTTGATGTTAATACTTCAGCCATTCAGGTATGCATGCAAAATTACCGCAACAAATTAAGAACTATATCCAAAATAGTATTAATCCAAAAATTTTATTTTTAGGTGTTGATTGAACAAGTCAATAACCTTGATCGTGCATATGAATTCGCTGAACGGTGCAATGAACCAGCCGTTTGGTCTCAATTGGCCAGGGCGCAATTGCAACAGGGTCTTGTCAAGGAATCCATCGACAGTTACATCAAAGCTGATGATCCTAGTGCTTACATGGATGTTGTTACAACCGCCAGCTCAAACAATAGTTGGGAAGATCTTGTTAGATATTTACAGGTAGGATATGTAAAATATTTATGTTTTTGATTATTTTAATGAATCCCTTTGTACAATCATACATTTTATAGTCTGAAATAACATACTAAAATATATGATAAGTGGTTTCATTATAAAATTCCATCTAAGCTTAGGTTTTTGCTGTGAGCTTAAGTGATTCTAATCAGAATTGTTACCGAGCATAAGAGTATGTTTGGCATAAATTGGAAATTGTTATATTTTATAGAGAAAGCAAAAATTTTATTTTCAAAATAAATTGTTGAACATTTTATCTAAATTGCTGAATATTAAGTTTTATAGTTAAAGTCAATTATTTACAGATATTGCAAAGTTGATGAAAATGTTTTTAACAACTAGCTTATCATATTATGTTTTTATAGATGGCTAGAAAGAAGGCACGTGAGTCGTACATTGAGAGCGAATTGATATACGCCTATGCTCGTACTGGTCGCTTGGCTGACTTGGAAGAATTTGTATCGGGCCCGAATCATGCTGACATTCAAAAAATTGGAGATCGTTGCTTTGAAGATAAAATGTATGATGCAGCAAAACTCTTGTATAACAATGTGAGCAATTTTGCACGTTTGGCTATCACTTTGGTACATCTCAAAGAATTCCAAGGAGCTGTTGATGGTGCAAGAAAAGCAAACTCCACAAGAACTTGGAAAGAAGTTTGTTTTGCTTGTGTAGATGCCGAAGAATTCAGACTTGCTCAAATGTGTGGATTACATATTGTAGTTCATGCTGACGAACTTGAAGATTTGATCAACTATTATCAAGACCGTGGCTATTTTGAAGAATTAATAGGTTTGCTGGAAGCCGCTTTAGGATTGGAGCGCGCGCACATGGGAATGTTCACAGAGCTTGCTATACTTTATTCTAAATACAAAACTGCTAAAATGCGTGAACATTTGGAATTGTTCTGGTCTCGTGTAAATATACCTAAGGTACTGAGAGCAGCAGAACAAGCACATTTATGGTCGGAACTAGTTTTTCTATATGACAAATATGAGGAGTATGATAATGCAGTATTGGCTATGATGGCACATCCAACTGAAGCTTGGAGGGAGGGACACTTTAAGGACATTGTAACTAAAGTTGCTAACATGGAATTGTACTACAAAGCCATACAGTTTTATTTAGATTATAAACCCTTACTGCTGAATGATATATTACTTGTGCTGGCACCACGGATGGATCATACTCGGGCAGTTGCATTTTTCACAAAAACAAACCATTTGCAATTGGTAAAAGTCTACTTAAGATCAGTACAAAGCTTGAATAACAAGGCAATTAATGAAGCATTAAATGGTTTATTGATAGATGAAGAAGATTATCAGGTAATTCTTGCCTTTTATTCATTATTATGAATCATGATTTGATGGTGTATTTAATTTTTCAGGGATTAAGAACATCAATTGATGCTTTTGATAACTTTGACAACATTGCATTGGCACAACAGTTAGAGAAACATGAATTAACAGAATTTAGACGAATTGCAGCATACTTATACAAAGGTAATTCGTTTTGTATTAATAAGTATAGATAGTAATACCTAATGTTGATGATTTTGTGCAGGTAACAATCGTTGGAAGCAGAGTGTGGAGTTATGTAAGAAAGATAGATTATTTAAAGATGCAATGGAGTATGCGGCTGAATCTCGGCAACAAGATGTTGCAGAAGAATTACTTAGTTGGTTTTTGGAGCGTGGAGCACACGACTGCTTTGCTGCTTGCCTATATCAAGTATGTACAATGCGTCTTTCTTTTTATCAAAGAAGTGAAACAAAATTGACTAATAATTATAATTTTAATTTCAGTGTTATGATTTGCTTAGACCTGATGTTATTATGGAATTGGCGTGGAGGCATAATATAATGGACTTTGCAATGCCGTATTTGATTCAAGTAACTTTCATACTTTAAAACAATATTACCATAATACCATATAAATAACATCCTAATATATATTGTTTCTTTTATAGGTCACTCGAGAGTATACTGCAAAAGTTGATAAATTAGAACAGAATGAAGCTGAAAGGCAACAGGAAGGTGCCGAACAAGAGAACAAACCAATGATGCTGTCTGAGCCCCAGCTTATGTTAACCGCTGGTCCAATACCTCCTCAATATGCCCAAGGATACGCTCCAGGTTATGCGCCCAATATGCCCTATCAAGGATACGGCATGTAAATCAAGTAAATATTCAGTAGACAATTCATAAAAATTTAAGTTAAGAGTCATTTTAAATTCCATTTGCAATGTAACTATTGCATAAGCATCTCTGAGAAAACAATTGCATATATCAATATATATTTCTATATATAACGGCATATATAATTTCCTTATATAAATTGGCAATTGTATAAAAATAGTATTATGAGTTATGAGAACTTTTTGTTCTAAAAGTTTATGCAAAATATGTTTTCCTTAACTGCATATAAATGTAACTGCATATGTACTGTGAACAATGAAAAAATGTACTATTAATATATTATCAATAATTATGAAAATATGGTAAAAGAATGTAGGGTTATATAGAATGCAAAATCCCCGATAAAAAGTATATGAGCTAAATTTAAATTATAGTTATAATTAAATGAGATAAAATTGAAGTTAAATAAAACTTGTTACCTTGTTGCATATATTGTTAATGTGAAATTGTAGGATGTTTGTGCAGCATTTATCTATACAGTAATATAAAAATGATGTTCAAATAATAGTGATTTTAGGTCTTGTTTGATTAAAAGTTATGTATTGAGTTCAATTCGTGGTATAAATATAGCCTAAGGCTAACGATGGTGAAAAATGTAATGTTTTACTATTTTTTTGCGATACTGTAAAAGATTTCTGCTCTTGAATCGAATGTATACAATTCTAGAATACGAACTTTTAAATTATATTCGCTTTTTATATATATTATATATCATATGATAGTTACTTTTTTTTAACAGATCACATTAAATTTATCTTTACCACCAGTTGTAATTACCTTAAATATACTTTTGTTAATCATATTATGTATTTATTAATTTGTGAACATTACATTTTACAGTGGAATTGGAATAAATTATATAAATAACTTAATATATTAAATATAGTTTAGATTTATAATAAGGTTCCTTTCAGTCGATGAAGTTTGTCTTTGAGTGTTAATTTGCCAGGTTTTTTAAGTCCTCGGTCACCTTCATATACATAAGCTAATTGTTTGAGAGCTGATCGAGCTTTAGATGAAAGAAAAGAATCAACTTCCTCAAGAATATTCATGAAATTTTTTATATGTTTTACGCCTCTGTGAATAGTTTCTGCTCTTTCCAAACTATCTGGTTGGAATTGCCTGGTCATCATTGCATTTGGTTGTACTATGTTTGGTTTTCGGCTGTTTGGCGTTGGTGTCTTTTGCATTTGGGCGCTTTTGCTCACATCTTTACTGATTTGCGTTAACATATTCATAATAGGGGATAGTTTTTTATCGATCATTTCTACTACCTTTGATTCTCGTAGTAGATGTTCAGGTTTTGGATTTGGCTTGGAGTTGATCTTTCGTTGAGCGATTGCATTTTCCAATCTTGCCTTGGCGTTGTTTTCTGGTTTCTGCGTGTTTGTATCTTTGCCAGCATTATTTGCTTGGGATGCACGTAAACCGATACTGGATTTTATGGTTTTTGGTTCCGATGATTTAGGTTGTACTGGCAATTTCGGTTCCACAGCTGGAACAACAATTAGTGAATATTAATTTTTCAAATTATGTATTTATTTGAAAATTTATAAATCCTATTATAGTCCTTTTTTTTAGGGGAGTGGGGGGATATATTGTAAGTACCTAATTTTTTTGGTTGTCCGACTTTCGGTGTGCTGGGAATATTTAACTTTTTTCCTTCAACTTTTGTAATAGGTTTGGGTTCATTATTTGGTTTATCTGATTCCTTCAATTTAGATGTTTTGCTTTCCTTAGTCTCGTTAGTTTTAGTCAATGGTAGAGTTGCCGACGCATTTAGTATTTGCGCCAAAACCTGCGAATTAAAAATAATAATTAATATCATTCGTATAATATTGAATAACCGAAATAGTAATTCGAATTTACCAAAAAAATTATTTGATCATTTTTGCCCGTCGTATTTATAAAATTTTATTAATGTTTAGAGTAACAGACGACGATCTTAAAACTTACGAAGTCATTATTATGAAATATTGTTATTTGCTAAGGCAAGATGCCACTTACGACTAGTCGATTTTACTTAATTGTTGGTTATAGTTCTGCAAGTTGTTTAATTAATTTTTGATAAAATGTTATCAACAAATTTGTACAAATACTATAACTAATATCGTAAAATCATTTCAAATATGTTCTCGCGTTGGTTTTAAGTTTGAAAGTATTAATATTTAAAATTGGTGTTCAAATGAAATTATTAAATAGTTAGTGAATTACAAATTTGAGTCAAAAATAATAATGTGATCTAAAATATAAAAAGATATACTCACAATTATCACTATTATCCCATAAATTTTTATGCACTTCATTTCTAATATAATAATTTAATCTGGAACCACACCTATACACAAGTTTTAGGATTTTATTATTATTATTACTCAACTTTGTAATATTGCGCGCTATCGAATGAAATCATTAATTGAAAATTGATCACATAGTTAATTAAAAGTAGCACATGAGCGAATAACAATACTGTTCTAAATAAACTAAATTGTCAGCAAAGTTTTCTGTCTTCTGGATTAATTTGTTTACAATTATAAATGCTTAATCTAATGTTAGGTATACTCGAACAATTTCACAATATTTTTTAATATTGGAAAAATTCAATAAAATTGAAATAATTTTCACATAGTTTTTAAATGTGATTAATTTTTAATTAATAACTAATAGAAATGTGGTATAAGGTTTTTATACTGTAAATCTAGTTTAGAAACTTATATTGCGAGTTTCGAAACTTATATTATATGAGAAACTTATTTTGTGTTTATATTTAATTAGTATTAATGGTAGATGCATTTGGTGATGTTTTCAACAATTTATATCAACCAACTACGATACAAATATTTTTTTTTGTTTTTTCGTTAAATATCCTTTGATCAAAAGGATATAAAATTACTCTTTAATTTCACTCTTGGTTATCAAGATAGTTGTGAAGATTTTGCGTTAATATTCCTTCTGTTGTATATATTTTTATAAACTAAAACTAATCATCTAAGCAATTTATATATTTATTTTGCAGTTTCAGCACATTTGTTCCAGTAACCCAACGATGAACGCGTAGTGAAATTATTGAAAGTATCCAAATTAAAATACTTTGATTAAAAATATTGTTTTTAATAAAATTATATGTAAGGAATAACAAATGTAACTTTAAGATTGCACAAGATGCTTTGAACAATTGTGATTTGTGTTTATATTTTTCATTGTTACTGAAAAGATGACAAATTACTTTCAAGTGTTACAATAGAGTGAAATCGATTATGTTTTCATAATTATATTGGCAAGCAATTAGTGCAAAGTAATATTATGCAAAGTTAGTATCTCTGTGCAAATTTGTTGATCCTGTTCTTGAAGATGAAGTGGATTTTTATTATGTTTATTTTTATTCCTACAGTATGCAGTATACGGAAAAGGGTGAGTTTACTGAATCTACTTTTGTATATGCATGGTTTATATTTTGCTTCATAAGATAAAAGTTTTACATTATTAGCATTTTTGTCTTGGCTTTGGGTGCTTATTTCATTGCGTTGCTTATAATTGCATGAAAGTTGCAGTAGTAATTAGAAATAAAAGATGATTTCTTATGAATATGTGTATACGACAGATTTGTCATGATTTATCTCATTTATGTATCAATAATACATTTATTTATCAAGATCCGAATCTAACCCTCTTTAAGACGTTTCATCCAGTTTTTCACGGACGTTTTTCATCATTAGGCGGCATGGATCATTCCTTGTCCACAAACGTTTATAAATTCATAAATAATTTAGGTACATATAAATAATTCATTGTCATCCCTTCTTGTTCAATTTTGTATTTTTATTCAGTTTCAAATTAATTTCAATATCATTTCAAATAAATTGTGAAATTATTTCAATATCATTTCATCACTCGTTTAACGTTTCTGATCAAAGGACATGATTTCAATATATCTTTATGTTTCAATAAACAATATATATATGTGTATTAAGAAGAGTAACGTTCAAATTTTTTAAAATATTTATTATTTAAAGTATATATTCTTATATATTGTATAGATGTCCGATTCCAGTGAAGGACTATCAGATGAAGAAGTTACGCCGGAGCCATACGTGGTCAGTAGTTAGACTGCATGCTTTAATACTAAGTTTATAATATTTGGCCAAATTAATATATATATATATATATATATATATATATATATATATATATGTATACTGTACATATTAAAATAAACATGTAAATTTCGAACGCAGGATTTAGAAGTACTTAACAATGCATATGTTAAAACTTCTGAGGTGTATTGGATTGAATAGTTAATGTTTTTTATTTCCAGCAAACAGGAAAATTTGAATTATTTCACGAGGATGGGCTGCTGCCTAAAATTATAAAGAAACTGTTTCACTGTGCGATGGAAATTTATGGATTTATACGTAGAGGTTTTGAGCCTCTGATCACCTATTTGGGAGGACATAAACATATGAGGATTTGGGACAAAGTGCATAAACATCTTTTTCATGCACACGAACATTATGATTAATAAGTAAAAAATATATGAATTAATAGTCATATTTAAATATAGCTATTTATTATATTTATTATAGATGTAACTATTTATTTTATTTATTTTTTGGGTTATATTTGATATAATTTTTGAACGAAGTTTTACACAACTCACAATTTTGAAAATTAATGTACGTTTTGATAATCTTTAATTGATGCTATTCAAATTTAGTGCCAAGATCTTTTTGTACTTCATTACATGTGTAACAATACGATCTAATAAATCACTTTGCACAGAAACTAATCAACTATAATTGAGACAACATAATATTATAGAATTATTTTATTTATAATATAAATCAAATGAGCATCCAAATAATTTTTACAAATATCCGAAGATTATTTAAACAACTATAAAACAAATTTTAATTAATTAATGAATTTATATATATATTTGATATGATAAATGATGATCACAGAAGGTTTTCTGTTTATAATTAGTGGCCGGTGTGGGTGGCTTCGTGTTCTTTGGCGAATTTGTCGACACTGGAACGCACGTCGGCGGCCACTGCTTGGGCTTGGGTCAAAACTTCTTTAGTTAAATTGCTCAATTGCTCGTTCATGCCTGAAATGAAAAAAATAATATAATTAATAATAATAACACCGTATTTTTGTGGAGTTAGTTAATAATTGAAGTTTTGCGTAATAGAAATCAATTAGGCGCTCGTAATAATGATACTAAAATTGGATGAAATTAAGACAGAATATCTTAATATAGTTAAATAATTAAGGGGACTGAAATCTACCAAAGTCAAAATACCATGGATATCCTTGGATATTTGATAAAAATAAATCGGCCAAAACTTTGTCGAAAGTAGAAATTCGTTAAATATTGTTTAATTGTTGTTCAAGATCAGTTTTTTAGATGTATTAGTTTTTGGTACGGTTTTACAATCTTTCAAGAAATATGTATACATAGAACTATTATCATGCAAGAACTTATCTAGAAAATCATTCAACGAAATACGGAAATACTGCAATATTTTGTTTAGAAGTACCTTCAGTACTTTTTCCGAGTTCTTTAGTCAATTTTCCCGCTTCATTAACAACGGTCTGCAGAGTTTCTTGGAATTTAGCTTTTACCTCATCGGCTTGTTTCTTCACATCAGGATGTTGTTGCTCAAGTTCGCGGACTTTTTCGTTGAAAGTGGTGGTTACTGAAGCCAACAGGTCTTTGAATCCTTTTCCGTGCTCGTTAACCTAAAGGAAAAAATATTTTTTATTATCTATAATAATATATCATCATCTATCCTACTTATATATTCTCTTACTTCAGTGTTGAGCTTTCCCAAGAAGTTTGAAAGAGTGTCCTTGAGTTGGTCAGTTCCATCACTGATTTTCTTGACTAATTCTTCGTTGTTTTGAACACCAACCAATTTGTGGAATTCAGTTTGGACATTGTTCAATGCCTCATCGGCTTTATCCTTAACTTCTTGTAAAGAAGGCAGTTGCATGGAGTCAGTGGGAGCATCGCAGAGGGCAACCTATAATTAAAAAAAAAAATATTAATTTTCAATAGTTGGGCTTATCGTGGCACTGTGGTAGAGCTTTTGGTCTTGCAACTACAAGGTTCCAGGATCTATACTCGTCTCGGACAGTTTGATTTCAAGCGGTAGTGATATCAGTTTCATTATAAATAATATATATTTCTATCTTATCGATGAAAAACAGTTTTCTTTCACACAATAAGTGTAAAAAACATTCGTAAATGAAAATTGACCAATTCAACAAATAGGCGTTGAGGGTTTTTATATTCTTCCATGACTTACACCCAAATTTTATCAAAATAATTGTTTTTGGAGCGATTATTTTATTTACATCGAGTCTCAAATAAGTAAATTAGCATCATAATTAAGTTATTGTTCATAACAGATCCTTTAAATTTAAATAAACCTTTACAAATTGAATTCATGCAACGAAATTATCATTTGAAATACAAATTATGCTTTGTCGTGAATTAAATGGCAAGAATTTGTTTGTATATCGTTGTCAACACCTTAAGAAAATTAATACGCTTATTATTGATACAATAGTATCTATACAATATTCAATTTAATAAAACATAAAGCAAATTGTAATGTGCATCAAGATCATAATCATTAGTATTCAAGGTTGATATAGGAACAGATCAGAATACTAATTCTAAATGAGAGTAAATAAAGTTTTTCATGTGGTAGAATGAATTATTAAAAGTTCACGTTTTTATGATCAGGAATCTTATATTTCTACGTTAATTGTAAATAGAGATGACTTTGATACCCACTTAAAAATAAAATAAAAATTATAAAATTTAAATATAGTGCTTCTTAAATAGTTAGGTTTTTGAGAGTGAAGAAGTGTATCGCACAGTATTTGATTAAATATATAATTGATATCTAAACATAATACATATAAAATTATATTTTACATTGCATATATCGAAGTAGAAAAGAAAATTAATATTATCATCATCTATTCTATTGAGGCAATAAAAAATCGCGAACACATCAGATATGCATACCTCATATCAGGCTTGTTTTTGCTGATGCCTTTATAAATAATAATATGACGCAAATTGACAATTAAATTGACTATGTGATGGTTAATTCATTTGCATTATTGATATTAATAAATTTGTACTTATGCTTTTTATTCTATGAAGAGCTAATTTGATCCACTTGATCCATTTCTTTACTATTTTTCGATTTTAGTTGATTGGGTACAATTACTGACCAGGAATTAGAAAATTTATTTTGAAACAATTAGTTAAATCGACGATATGTTTGTTAGTAAATTTTTTCCATGATGTAAAATTTTATTTTGTTTATTATAATAATAGTTGATCTTGTTATGACTCTAATCCAAAAGTTCACTGAGGCTGACATCGCGGTTATCAGCAATTTATTACATATTTCACAGAATTTCCCACACAGAGATTATTTCATAAAATCATAACTAATGCAAAACATATTTTTTATATATTAATGAAGATAATAAAATTTGCTCTAACGAAGATTACATGAATTTGAAATAAACATTTAATAAAACTGATTTCTATAAAGTATCCGACAAGTTTTAATAATTTAATATATTTTTATGTATGAATAAATATAATATAAATATATATATATATATATATACCTTACCTATATAACAAAAATTACATTCGTCGTCGAAAAATACAATATATACAGTGATAAAAACATTAAGTAGGCCTGACAAAAATTGTGTAGAATTTTTTTTTGAAAAAATGGCTTATGTTTTTAATGCTATTAATGAAATTTATTTTTTATTTGTTTTTGTACAACAAAAAAAAAAATTTAATCTTTAGAAAGCAGTCTGTAAATTATCATTTTCACCCAATTGTACACCACCCAATAAATAATACAAAATGAAAATAATTATGGTTCAAAATAAAAGATTTTAAAATCTTATAGGTAATAATTATTAGAAAAATTGATTTAAGACGCGATTATCAAAGATACAGTTTTGAAGATATCATGTTTTTATAAGTTCGATTTCGGAGTTGCGGATTTTTCTAGGAACAAAATTCCGGATTCAGGATTTTTATCCCGGATTCTTCGCAATTTTTGAAAAAAATCTTATAAAAACTGTTCACTTTGAATGTATTAAAACTAGAAGTATTTTTACTAAATATTAACCATAAAAATTGTAATATGCTACTTCAATAAACACATTCAATCATGACATCATTAGCTACAAAAATAAAATAAATATAAAAATATAATAAATAAATATATAAACATGTATGAATGAATAAGTATTTCTTACTAAAGTTAATAATAAAGAAAATTGTTCAGACTTTTATGCAGTATCTAAAAGCGACAAAGACCATAGTTGAGAAAATATAATTGCCCACAAAATTGTCAGTTATTTTAATTAAAAAAAAATCAAAATACTGATAAAATTGCCAACTGGTGTTAGTTATGCATAATTTCTGTTAATGAATTGTTTGAAAAAGCACATTTCAATTATATAAATTCACTTAAACCCCCTCCCTCAGCTGCAACAAATTTCTGTTCGGGATTTGAAATAAAAAATATGGTCACCTTAGGTTTGATTGTACTTTAAATTTCTTCTGAGCTTAAATACACTTAATACAAACTCCACTTAATAAAAAAATTGAGGTTTGATCTTAAATTATATTTTATGCGAATAAATAAAATATACCTTCGATTTATTTACAATAATTAATAATATGACTATTACTACTGACCTGGACAAAGGCGCAGGCTACCAAGCAGACCAGAGCGAACTTTGGGACCATTTTAACGTGATGTGATCTGATGTGATGTGTGTTACTTGATTGATAATAAGCACGGAACTGGAAACTGGTCGCAACCCCCGTCGACTTTTATATCAGCGCCGGTCGACCAGGCGGACGTCTCGCCGGGACAACAATAACCCTCGAACAGGCGTAGGCAAGGCGGACAGAAACCGGGTCCAGAATTGATATAAATAGATATAAATATCTTTGGAATTTAAAAATTAAAGCTACACAAAATATACAATTTAGAATTATACTGATCTCTTTTCATTATATATATATAGCAAAAAAGAACGGTATATGGTATTAATTTAATAGAAAATTATATTTTTATCAAATACCGTGGATATGTTAGAAAATTTGAAAAAAATTAAACGGCAAAAACTTTGTTAAAAAAGACAATGGATAGATATAACAAATTAACAAAGATATCTTTGAATATTTGATAAAAATAAAACGGCCAAAACTTTGTTAAAAATACCATGGATATATATCTTAGGAAATGTATAATAATATTATAATTTTTCTTATATACCTTTTAACAATTGTAACAAATTCCATTATACAAAATTTCAAAATGTAGTCATTTATGTGTTGCCTATAAATTCAAAATTTTATAAACTTATGCTATTATTATTAACTGAATTTTTACTCTAGAATCCCAATTCTAGTAACAATTTTTTCAATCATTTTTTATATAATTTTCAAGCATTTTTTATATAAATTTTAAGCATTTTTTAAATAAATTTCAATTTGTATATTTGTCTCCATAAGTAGTTAATTTATTAGTAAGTAAAAGTCAATATCCTATAAATTTAGATCTTAAGTAAAATTGATATATATATATATATATATATATATATATATATATATATAATAAGATATAATTATGATTGTATCCCCAGAACCGTGTGTTGTCCACAACTGATTTTCTTAAACCATAACAAAAGGTAAATCTCTTATTGTATCAGGTTTCGATATAGAAAAAGCTTTTAGTACAATGTAAAAAAGCTTTAGATAATATAGAAATTTAAAAAAAAATACAGAAGAATTTTTCTATGAAAAGAATTTAAAAAATCAAACTTGTTGTGGTGGAACATCTGATACGTGGGAAACAAATATTTTGGTAAGTGTATTTTTAAAAATATTATTTAATAATTAATTAATAATAGTTATTAATATAATATAATATTTGTTATATTTGTGATAAGCATTGCTAAAGTAAGCAAAATATATATATATATATATATATATATATAAAATATACATAATAATTAATAAAGTAAATAGGAATTGAAATAAAATACATAATGTTGATAGAAAATTTGTTTGTCAATTAACTGTAATCCTTTGAACTATGTATTATAAATTAATGTGGAAACATTTGATGAGTAATAATTTAATGGATTTTGGATTCTGACCTGATCGTCAGACATGCGTAACGCAAATATTATTCATACAAATGACGAACTGGTAAGAACTGCTCTAATAATAAGATAATATATACAAGAAAACTCTATTTTGAAGTTCTACAACTATTTATATTTTTTATGTTAATTAATTTTACAAATCAAGGATATGTTTGTTAACAAATTACATAATCAAAATAAGATACGTTGAAGAGCTCAGACATTGCGCAGATCTTCGTCGTTGTTGGTTTGAATTTTGTAGGAATGTAGAATTTAATGTGTGATACATTAAATCAATAATGTCTATTGCTAAAAAAATATTGGATCTTAAAAGTAATGTGTATTGATACAATTTTCAGTTTCTGGTTAGTCAATTTATATAATGTAGTTCCTTGTAAACATTATTAACATATTTTTCCATTTGACTAGTCTTGCATTCTGCCAATTCCTATATTAAGATTGACTGATTGAAGAAGATTATTTATTTATGAGCACACATGGGGTCATTGAAGTCATTACCGGTTCGCAAAAATGATAACCCGTACTTGAACATGTAGTCAAGGTTCAACAAACAGAAGTAATATTATTGATATGAAAAGGACATAACTGATTTACTTAAGTGCCAAAATGTAATAACTTTTATTAGCATTAAATGACGTGGAAAGAAGCGCAGTAATGGTCAAAGGTAATGCCTCTGTACTGAAACTTCTAAATTATTAATATAATTTTATTACGTCAACTGGATAATATAAAATTATTTAAAACAATGCCAAATCAGCTGTCAAAATTTTTGTTATTACGATCAGAATGCATGCGACCATAGGCCGTTTCAATGATAAATTGTTCTTAAATTCCTTAAAATTATCGTCATTTCAGAAGCGCAACATTAGCCAAAATGGACAGAAAAGAGTTGTTATCACAGGAATGGGCGCATTGTCGCCTCTTGGATTTAACGTGCAAGATTCCTGGAAAACAGTTTTAGGTAATTTTGATAACATTCAATTATTTGCGCCTGAACATCATATAACATCATTTTAACAATGTAATAATTAACGTCTTCATAATAATGCGATTTTTGTGTTTATTATCTAGAAGGAGGATGCGGAATTCGCAAGCTAGGAAAGGAATACAGTCGATTGCCTTGCACCGTGGCAGCTGTTATTCCTCATGGAAGAGGAAGAGATGATATTTTGGATTTGACCAAATATTTTGCAAAGAGTTCTTTGAGAACTATGGCCTTGTCTACTGCTTATGCCGTTTTGGCTGCCCATGAAGCACTTCTTGACGCTAAATGGATGCCCGAAGATGAGGAGCAACTGTTGAGGACAGGGGTAGCTGTCGGGATAGGTAGAAAAAAAGATAACAAATGACAAATTAAGTGTTTTAAAAGATAAATTAAGCATGCCTCTATAAATATTTTTTATATCTAATCTAATCTTATCAGAAATAGAATGGTCAACTACTGAGTTGCCTTTTGAAGCACTAGGTTAGGGATGTTTATCACAGCAGCTGATAAAGAAAATTGTTCTAATTGCTGTTCAAATATAAATTCAAATATAATAACATTTTTGTCAATAATAGATTTAAAAACGATAAAGAATTTTAAATATGAGCATAAGGACAAAACAAGTACAATAACCATGTTTTTGCAGAATTTGTTGAATTCTTGAAAATTATGTTCTAATATTTCTTGTATCTTACAACTATTTAATCAGGAATGATCGATTTACAAGAAGTTTGCAATACAAATTCGGCATTCAAAATGGGCTACAGCAAAGTCAGTCCTTATTTTCTAGCAAGAATTCTTCCAAATATGGCAGCAGGTCATATCAGCATGAAATATGGATTCAAGGTACAGTTTAAAAATATCATACCGCATATACAAAAACGTAAATATTAAACTAATCATGATATTATAAAAATGTAAATAAGTCGAGTCAATAACAGGCAATCTTAGAAAATCCTCAGAAATAGTTCTGACTTTGGTCATTTTTTTTTAATTTTTGTTTTCCAATATTATTCCAAATTAGAACGTTTCAAAATAAAAAAAATATTTTGTTTATTATTAAAACAATATATATATATGCAATTTATACTAGGAAATATATGTTACGTGGTATTGCTATTTAATTAGTGGGTTTACAAGTGCCAGTACCACTTGTAAGTGCCAGTACTACAAGCAAATGTTTTGAGTGTTGAGCGACTATTAACAACTTGCATTTTCAAAAGAATAATTTCAATTGAGTCATTATTATGTTTGTAATTTCAGACCATTTTGTTACATAATAAATTTAAAATTCTTGTAAACAGAGTAATTCACATTGTGAATATATAAACAATGCACCTAATAAATAATTGCTATGAAAACAGGGTCCCATACACTCGGTGTCGACCGCCTGTACAACCGGCGCCCACTCTATCGGCGACGCCTTCCGATTCGTCCGTTCGGGGGATGCCGATGTTATGGTCTGCGGAGGTGCCGAAGCAGCCATTAGTCCGCTGTCGGTCGCCGCCTTCTGTCGTCTTCGAGCTCTCAGCACCACGAGGTAAATATTGACAACAATGACATTACGACCTTCATTGGAGGGATACGTGAAATAATTTATGACAATTACTAATTGCCATGATGATATAGTTATGATCGTAAAAGTAAAATTTAAAGAAATATATTTGAGAAAACTACATAAACAAATAATATTATTGTTAGATTATTTCTCCAGAGTTTTAGCGTTTGCATAAATACCTTAGAAGTACTGATTACATTATTTTAAACTTGATAATATTGTCAATATTACATTTTGTTGTTATCCTTTCATTTTCATGACAAACCTATAATGTAAACAATATTATAATTAGAGCATTATTATAATCAAAGCATTTTTTATATTCTTATAATAATTTTGCATATTATTTGATTACGGTAAACCTAATATTATGTTTATTTTCGTTTTATGATAAATTTTAATATATCAGTATTTTGTATTTTATTCATTTTAACCCTATAATGATATTGTGTTTAACAAATGATTTTTAATACGTCTTTTGTCGTTGTATACTTTGTGATATCATTGAAGGTTATTTCACAAAATATAAAACTCTGTAACTTAGTAACAAATAGTCTTTATTTTATTAAAATTTCCATAACAAAAGTACGTACGCCGTTCCCTTCGCCTCGAAGGAGTGCAGATACCGTTCTAGGGTTAATACTGATTTCATGATAAACTTATATAATATCAATAATTTCAACTTCTATTTGAAAAATAAGCCTGTGGTTTAACCCTCCGTTGGTCGGCGTGGTCTGGCCATACTTTTTTCGACTTCAATTAAAAAAAAAATACTTCTAGTAATCCTATCGACTTGAAATTTCTTGACTTTTCCTAAAATTTCATTAGCTGTCGATCAATGAAAAAATCAGGACAAAAAAATGTACAGAACGATAATTATAAGGATATTAACTTCTTTATACTTCGAACGGTCGGAAAGGTCTGTCTAGACCACCCATACATTTTATATGAAATATACGCTTTTTGATATATGTAAACCAGTATTTTGTCTTTTTTCATGGTATTTTCTATTCAAACTACGTTGTATATATTCATTGCTATGTGTTGTAACATGAATGTTAGTATTTTCATGACGAGAGTTCCTTGAAAACCTACCAAACTTATTGGTAATCGCAAACACTGAAAATCGGATGAGTAATGCACACATTATCAACAATTTTTCTACCCGTACTGCGTTCGAAATTTTTTTTTGGAAAACCTGTAATGAAACTATATTTTCACTTTGAGTTTTACAGTTCATTTCAAAGGCGACGCACCTCATTTCGTTTTCATTTGAATTTCTCATTCATTTCAAAGACGCCGAAAAAGAATAAATATTGTTTTTCATTAATATAAAACAGAAAAATTAACAAAAAAGCAACAATTTATTTATATTTCTTGATTTTTTTATATAATATAATATGTAATATTTTTATTATCAGCAAGCTCAACACATGCAAAAGACGGTAAGAAAAGGATAACATCAAAACTATAAATATTTACTACTAAGAATCGTTAATATATAAGACACCAAAAACTCATTTATCCCATATAAATGCATGTAAAATGAATGGTGGTCCAGCCAGACCTTTCCGACCGTTGGAAGGTGATAAAATATCCGACCGACGGAGGGTTAACTATCTCTTAGAAATCAGTATTACGTAATATTTATTGATCATTTATCAATTCAACTGGCAAGATAATTCTTGACTAGATGAATCACTGTCAGATAATTTTATATTTTACGCCTTCATTTTTATACCTAAATTACTTGTTCATTCACAGTTGTAAATATTGTCTAGTCCTAATTTTAATTGATTAAGATACAACCGAATATTATGAATATTATATTTTATTTTCTATATCAAGATTTATTGTTTGTTAATTGTCAATTCTCAATTTATTGTTTATCAATTTTCTATCAGAAACGATGATCCTCAACGTGCATCGCGTCCATTCGATCGTGACCGCGATGGTTTCGTGATGGGCGATGGAGCAGCGGTGTTCATTTTGGAGGAGTTGGAGCACGCAACGAAAAGGGGGGCTCATATTCACGCCGAAATTCTGGGATGTGGCCTCAGCGCCGATGGAACACAACTTGCAGCACAAATTGGAGAGGCCATGGGTGCATCGCTGTCCATGCAGCGGGCTTTAGAGGTAAGAATAATAGAAATAGTAATAATATTTGATATGTAACGTAATTTAATGCTCTACTACTAAATCTAACGTTGGCGAGGAACTCCATAACTATTACCAAAACCATAATCAATTTCTGACATTTTCGTTTATTGACTTATAAAATTTTGATTTTATTATGCTATAAAAGAGTGATGATGTCAATGACGCACGTTTAAAGCGAAATAAATTTATTTATACGCAAAACACAGTTTGAATTTAATATTGTTGTTAATAGCAAAATCCTCTGTAGGATGCTAAAATAAGTCCAACGGACGTCGGTTACATCAATGCTCACGCACCCTCCACTCGAATGGGCGATGCTATTGAGGCAAAAGCCGTGAAACGCGTTTTTGGTGACCACAGTAAAAATCTCTTCGTCTCCTCCACAAAAGGCGCCCACGGTCACCTCTTAGGCGCGGCTGGCAACTTGGAATCAATTTTTGCGGTCAAATCAGTAGCCACCGGCATGGTACCCCCAACATTAAATTTAACTAACGTTACTGAAGATATGGATTTGAATTTCGTCCCCATCAAGGCTGCTGTTTGGAAAAACAGTGGTCGAAAGATTGCGTTGAAAAATTCTTTCGGATTCGCCGGTACGAACGCTACTCTTGTATTTGCCGAGTATATGAATGATGAAAAGGTAGTGGAAACCCAAGAAAAAACTGATGCTCTGTCGTATAAGGAATCAATACTTGGGCCAAGCGAATTTTTGAATAACTTTTCACCTACGAATTTTGAACCGACCAAGAAACATTTTCTTCTAGTAGATGTCGAAAATTAATAGTCACAAATTGTGTTTTTGTATGGTTATATTTTTGCGTAATTTGAGTATTGTGTTAATCCAAAAATAAAAATATTTTAGAGAAATGTATAAACTTATGCAGGTAAAATGTTTGATAATAAAATCTTATATGTGAATTATTTTAATTAATTTTCATACAGATCGAAGATGAAAGACTCAGGGTATTGATACTGGTATTTATTATAATAAGTAAATTACATAAAATCTTATAAATAAAAATATTAAAATTAAAAATTGTATACCTACTAAAATTAAAAATTAATTTAAAATTGTTTTTACATACCTATAAACGCCTAATCATATACGTATAAATAATAATTTACATAAATCTTGGATTATTATATGTTTTACTTATATGAAAATCGATTGGAACAATGTTGTGTTTCAGGTAGTTTTAACGTTATATTTATGTTGCATCCCACCAGTTAGTTACTTCAATGTAAATAGATAACAATGATCTTTTGACAAATTATTCCAAGGACTTGCTTCGTTGTTTTCTAGTTTCTGCTATAGACTAATCTATTTATTATAATCAAAGTGACACGATTTATATAAATATACTATTTAAATTACTATTACAACTGTCAGTTTTCAAAAACTGACGAGTGGTCTAAGGGCTTTTGGCAGCACAAGGCGATTGCGATGGGATTTCCGTGATCTGAAATTGTACGTTTTCGAAAAAGCGGTTTCCAGTTCATCGCTTTTTGGTGATTTTTCATTGTAGATCATCGATAAACGTTTGACTTTGTTCGACGAGGGCAAGTCTGCGTAGGGATGAAGTTCGCCGGTGCGGACGTTGCGCGCCCCTGTTCCGTGAAGGGAAAAAATGAAGGCGTTGCCGGCTTGGCCGATGCTCTGGCTGAATTTCTGCACCGTTCGGGATACGTCTTGGGCATCCGAATCCACCTGATAATAGATTATTATTTTATAGAGTATGATAGTTCAAAGCAAAGCAGAACATCAAATGCGTTTGTTCGAATTATGGCTTAAAAATTTGAAAATTAATCAAAATTCTCGATTTATTACTAAGCACAGCATTTCAAAATTACACAAATTTTTGATTTATTACTATAGTCAGTAAATTTTTCAATTTCTTACCCGTACTCCATTTACATAAAATCTTTGAACGCCATTTCGCCAATTATCAAGGGTGGACATCAAAGCGTTTTTGGCGTTCTTGTATTCAACAGTATCACGTTTTTGTCTTCTAGTGTGACCTGTAGATATTTCACTGGCATTTCCCAACTATATAATTTATTTACAAAAAAAAATTATTTACTCATTAAAAAGAATCTTAAAGAATTCAACTCTTTCGCTACAAGCGTCGCCTTTAGGCGACATACGAGGTGCCGATCACTTAACGTTAAATTATCGAATATTCTAAATTTTTATTCTAATTTTTAGATTTCCAGAATAATTTTTGGTTTTGAACTATATTTTCAATAATTATTGGAAAATCTTGATATATTTTGTGTCAAAAGTACTTGAGCGGCTTGCTGGCTCGTACAGCAGTGTACTTTGCAAATAACATTTTCGTAGCCAAAGGTTCAATAGTTGAACTGGATGAAAGTTTAGAAATTTATTAGAACACAATATTTACCTACATTGGAATTTAAAAAATAAAATATATTCTTTGATCGAGTGCACAGTAAAAATATTTTTTATTTTTCCAAAAACGAATAAGTAAACCATTCAAGTACGATATCGACGAAGAAAATAAAATATTTTTTTTATTTAATAAAATTACAATTATTTGTATATATGATTATATGATTTGATAATGGTTCACTTTTGAAAGATTATGAATGGATTAAGTTCGTCAGCTCAGTATAAGTGAGTAAATAAATATTAATATTAATAATAAGATTTATTAATAAATAAAATATTAAATAATAAATAAAATAAATTAAATAATTTTTAACTTACATTGCATACCACAAATAATACCAAGCAAAGCACATGTATTTTAAGTTCCATTGTTACTAATTTTTCCCTCACAACCGATTTGTTCAATATTCTGCGAATAAATGAGTCAAAACTCGATTTCCTGCCGCCTTTATAAGTTTTCAATGTTTATTGAGAATATTTTGCAAAAACTGTTTAGGAATGTTCATTTTTATCGACTTTACAAATCTCAGCAATGCAATGTGTATCAAAATATTTTTATGACGATATCGTGGTTTGAATTATTCCATGAATGTTTAATTAATGAAACTATGATATAATGTTTTTATCCATATGTTTGTATTTATTAAACAATAATAATGGGGGGTAACAAATATATAACAGCTGTAATTTGTGTAAACAAAATTATTTAATCTGAGTATTACTCATGATTTGTTTTAAAATTCGCAAATCATAGAGCAATATACCTGTTTTGATTTGTGCAGAAAAAATTATTTAATCTGAGTATTGCTCATGATTTGTTTAATAATTCGCAGATCATAAAATAATATTATGAGTTATACTTCGATTAAGAAAATTAAAATAGGACGCGTCATATAATCAATAAGATAACAGAAACTAATTAAATTTTTTAATTATTTATTTCATTATTATTGATAATAAATTTATAAACTAATTTAAATGTTATTTCAGAAAATAATATAACATAAAAACATTGAAAATGACGTTATTGTACATAATTAAAACAATCGTCATAATTAGGAAAATAATTTGGATTAAATTATTACTCATAAATAAATAAATGATTACATAGAAACTATTACATTGACTAATTTACTAATTAACTACTTTGTTTAAAGTAATTTCTTCTTAATAATATAAGATTGAATTCGAATTCTATCGATAATAATGTAGCAAAAAGTATTTAATTAATCGTAGGCGTTTGTTGTAATCAATTCTTTCAGTTAATAATATTTTGGGATTTAATTTTTAAATAAAACTATTTACAGCTAATTTGCGTGAAGGAAAATGCATGATTTTATAATTTATAAAAATGTGTAAAAGATTACATAATATTACTTTTGTTACAAGGATCAATAAATTGCATATGAAAAAATTAAGCAATATTTGATCAGAATTTTGATGAAATATTTTAAAGAAATTCTGCAGCTTTCATCGCTTTAAATAAATTTTAAAAATAAATAAATCATAAAATGATTTTTAAAATATTTTTTTTTAAATTTAGTTATATGTTAGCTTATGTATTACGTTAATAAATAATAATGCATTGAGCTAAGATTATTTTTTTATGAAAATATGCAAAAAATATTTTGATAATTCACGAAAGCAAATAATGTTATACATACCATTGACTCATCATTAAAAATATTTATAATTTGTCAAATGTTAATATTCGTCATAATTATACGAAAAGATTAAAAATCACGTATTTATTTTACATTGTTTCTCTAATTTTAATTTTTTTTTATTCTTACCAATTCAAAAAATTATCTGTGGATGTTTGTAAAAAATATATAAAATTAACTATTTTTATTATTATTATCATTATTAAATATAATTAGGTATAAATCAAGTTCATAGTTTTCTTATTTCTGGATGTGTTTAATTTCAAAATTCATTGACTCTATAAATTTTATTCTGTTTTTTTAGTTTTAAATTCATGGACTACGAAGAATTCAATTACAAACGACTGGAATTCATATTATATATTTTAAACATATTGAATTACAAACAAAAGTATGTTTATTATACACAAATTTATTATTATTATGATTCGATAACAAGTATTACATTATGGGAATCTTATTTATTTTATTGTCAAGTTACATATATAAATGTACTTAAATAGTAATATATATATATATATATATATATATATATATATGAGATTTCTGGATAGCTACTAACTCTTATGATTTTTAAACTCCTGAACTTCAATTTTTTTTCTCTTTAAAATTTATTTGAAAAAAACACCTCAACCTTTCAGGGATATAGTATAATCCTTATTACAGGAATTATTAAAAACTCAGAAAATAGTATACATTTATACTCTTAATTATTAAAAAAATTATAAAGTTCACTTTTTACCTTCATGAATTACCTTAATTGAATCATTCAATTTTTCAATAATTAAATAAGGGTATAAATGTTATTTTCTTTCATTTGTTATTAACATTTACCAAAAAAGAAGATATTTCATACCCCCAAAAATGGCTGAATAAAATAATTGTTTTTAACGATACAATTTTTTGAAGAAATGAGGCGTTTAGTTCAGAAGTTCCAAAGACCATAATAATTTTATACATATATATGTGTATGCTACATATATGTATATAAAATACTTATTCTACATGATTTTTTTTACATTATCATAGTTTTACACAATTTTTTTTCGCACTTATAATTTTCTAAGAAAAACGCATGCAAAAATGTTTTGCTTAATCTAAATGTAAATATTATTCGTGGTCCTTCTTCAATTTATTTATCATATCATCTGTTTTGAACTGCAGCTGATTCACAAAATCCTTTCCTGCTCCTGCAACATTATTGCTAAAATGCTGAATATTTCCTGTCAGGTCCCTGAATAAACCATCTGCCTGTAAATAGAAAACACGAATCCAATATCGTTTGTTGATATGTTTTTTGTAGGGTTTTTGTTGTTTATAAAAAAATGTCACGTAGATAAAAATGTTTTGAATGTTTTACCTGAATTCCTGTTTTAAAAAAGTGGTCGATCCCGTCCTTCCACCCTGACAATGATCCATCGATCGACTTCTCCATATCACCTCCGTCAGGTAGAGGAGGATCGGTGCTGATTGCATCGCGTTTGTATAAAGACACGAAACCTAGGGCACCCTGGAATAAAAAAAAGTAATTAAATCCTAGTAGAACTGGTTTCTTAAAAAATACCTGTTTTGGAAAGAAACTACTTGCGCAATATCTATAACTGGTGTCCAAATAGCAATCAGAACTTAAGAAACCAAAGAGCTATGATGATAATTCTTTTAGAAATGCAGAAATTATTGCATAGCAATAGCATAAATTATTGCATAGCAACTATTGCATAGCAATAGTTGTTTGATCTGTTTGAATAATTTTTACTATAATTTGGAAACCTATTATGGTCAATTTATTTTCAAGTAAAAATGGTCACTATTGCTTGATCAAAGTTTGCACCTGGGATTGCAAAGCCTGGTGTTACAAACCGCAAATTTATTTATTTATTTATGAGTGAACCGTAATGGATAAATAATGCATTATTATTTCTGGATTTTGTTAAGATTATTCATAAGTTTCTATAGTAAAACCATTTCAATCATTACTTGCTAGTCTAGGTACTATACTATGCTGCAACCAGAAACCAGAATTACAGAATAATTTTACTCCATATCAATTGACTTGATAAAATCTAAAATACTAATAATAATTACTATTGATTACGGTTCGTTCATAAATTATTAAATAAATATTTGGTTGCTGGTCGTACCATATCGTTTGGTACTAAAATAATGAAAAAATTAACCGTTATTTTATTGATAGTATCTAGTGCAAATAATCTACATATACCAACAGATTTCATTCTTCCGATAATATATAAAAATAAAATTTAAAAAAATTACAAAAAATATGTTGAACTAGCTTAAACAAATAAATTGAATGTAAAAATTGGTAGTTCGCCATCTTGGCAACAAGATCAGGAAATATTGATAGAATATAGATAGTATTGATAGTAAATGTATAAAAAAAACAGTTTTTTTTTTATTAATAGTTACCCCCAAAACGTTGAATAAAATAATTGAAAAAAAAACAAAATAAATAATTAGAATTTATTTTTTAAGGCAAAAGACTTTAGTCCAAAAGTTTAAAAATCATATTTTTTTCCTTACCTGTATTATAATTACCACCACAAAAAATGAACATGACACTTTCCGCCTCATTTTGCCACGAATTTTTATAATAACTATATTCCTCTCTTAAGACGATAATTTTTATAATATCTATATTCCTCTCTTAGGACGAATCTTGTAACAAATGGAGAGATTTTCGGGAGATAGGTCTATTTAAAGTCTGATTTTCGGCCAGTATATAATCTCTCGAATTTTTTGATTAATAAATATTATTAAATTCTTATTTTACTCTTAATCGATCTGTTCCAATAAGTTATATAAATATGGCATACTGATATGCATGCTTCATGTTCTCGACGGTATGTTTGATAAAGTCCTTTGGGAAGTTCTCATAATAAAGAAAGAAATGTTTATTTTATAATAGAGAGTTTGCAAATGGATTTAAAATATAGACTGTATGTGTTTTCTTATATAAATCATTCAAATGAGCAATTAATTCCATATATAAAATCTTATGTCTTATATATATCCAAATAATTTCAAGTAATTTTTGCCTTTCTAGAAGACTAGATTTTAAGAGGGCAAAAATTACTTAAAAATTAATTATCTAACCTAATTTTTTGATAAATTGGTTTTGGCACGTTAGTTCAAAATACTTGTTACACAGAATTTATTTAATATTTTTTTAATATTTTAATATTTTGTTAGGCCACATGTAGGATATATATATATATATATATATATATATATATATAAATCGTTGAGTCTTTAATGTATAGTTTGAGATTTAATGTAAAAATAGTAACTATTCAGAAAAGTTGTATGCAGACATTTATCATTTTATATATTGTTTTATTCAAAATTTTATTGTGAATATTTTTCTTATACATAATTTTTTTAAAAAAATATAGTTATTGAGAAATTGATCAAAACTCGTACAATTGAAGAAAAATTTAAAAACTCGAGAAAATTACGTGCAGACACGTTGGTCGTGCAGTTCTGAAACTTTTGGTTAGAAATTTTATTCTAAAACATTATTATTATTACTATATTTATTATATATTATTTTTAATATATTTTGAAAACCTCTGGTCTAAGCCACAATATTTTTTCACCATTATTTTCTCTATGGTTGCACAAACAAAATAATCAGAATAATTTAAAACAATGTCTATATAATAATTATATTTATTATGCCTGATAGTTCTTCAACACTGAATTCTTTCTGAATA